TGTAAGACATTTGATTCCACGTATAAAAATATATTATTGTCACGCTATTTTATAGAAGGACGTTTTGCTTGAGTGATAGAGGGAGAGAAGTGGCGGTGCGGATTTGTTGCTAAAAGCCATACAATAACATTGTTTAAACAGAATCGTTCCTATGCTAGCTTTAATGCAGTTACTCGCCTATTGAAGCTGCACATATTACTGTAGGTACCGTCCAGGACACAGAAGCGGAATGCTTGGAGGAACGTTGTTTGCTAGTCTGTCTCAGTCACCTTTTAACAACATATGCATTTGGCATCTATTCTAAGACAACATGAATGTTAGTATTGGACTACCAAGGTCATGCGAGGAGACCCTTTATCAGATATACCCCGATCTATGTGCCTGAATATACCATTATACCGGGACAAAACGATGAAACATGTTCATGTGTACTCAGTGTCAGAGTGAGTGAGTGAGTGAGTGAGTGAGGTTTTACGCCGCTTTTAGCAATATTCCAGCAATATCACGGCGGGGGACACCAGAAATGGGATTCACACATTGTACCCATGTCGGCTAACCACTAGGCTACCCGACCGCCCCTACTCAGTGTCAGAAAAAACAAAAGGTATGAATTTTCGGGAATGTCACTTATTTGTAACTGTTGTGAACTTACATTTATTGTTCTTGGGTAGCAGTTAAATGTAAACTTTCATTTACTGTTCTTGTGAAGCAGCTATATGTAAACTTTCATTTACTGTTCTTGTGAAGCAGCTATATGTAAACTTTCATTTACTGTTCTTGGGCAGCGTGTTCTCGTACCCGTCTTTGATCTCAATGTACCTTCGCATCAAAACTGAACCGCGAAACCGGTATGTTCTTTGGGCCACCATGGACATTGAAGTGCTTGCAGCCGGCGTTGGCTCTGACGTAGCGGGGATCGCTTCCATGGAGACCCTTCACGAAATTTGAAGCAAAGACTCCTGTCAGGTGTGGATCCTCTCCATATGATTCCTGTGCAGAAACGTTAATCACGTCTATTTCTACGAAATCGAGGTAAGTACAGATGTATATTTACTGTAAAAGCAATAATATTCATTGGTGATATCACGACAATCAAACACAGTGAAGAATGGTAATATTGAACAATAAATTTCAATTCTACCTGCGTCATGTTGTACTCATACAGGTAATAAAAGCGGAAAAACACATTTCCATAATCTTAAGAAGCCTACTGAACGATCGCGACTATATCATTAGCATGTGTTTATTAATTACTATAAAAAATGATGATACCAGGTGTTCGCAAACGATTGAGCGTTCCTTGGCCCACCAGTGGCATCCCTAACAATCAGTTGTTTACCTGAACACATGGTACATGTCAAAATAGGGATTTGCATCGGACATATTTTTTGTCACTGGTGTGTCAAGTCTATAGATGTCTTCCACAAACCTTATGAAAGGCTTTACTGAGTCATTGAATGCTGAAACCTTTGTCAAATAACTTTTAAAAACTCTCTTCGTAGAAAGAGCTGGTTCGATTGTACCTCAAGAGTTGTGAAATATAGGCACCGGAGTCATCTATCTTGACATACAGTCTTGAGCAAAGTATATTGCAAAATTGACCAGTTTTGCAGGCATTTCACAAAACGTTACAAATCCATGCGATGCGAATAGTTTCAGTTGTTTCAGACAATGATGTTTGGGGGATGGAGGTTGCGTCTCCAGCACCAACGTCCCCCAGAGACACTCTTTATCCCAGGAATATGGTTTGATACCAAGGCGGGGTATAGCAGGGGCGGGCCCAGCGTTAGAGCCTTCACCCCCACATTTATGGTATGATCTCGTCCAGGATGACACGACCTATGAGATCGTTGACTCTGTCCTCCCAGTGTAGAGTGATATTTCTAAAGGGGTAATCCCCCAACACAAGGGGAACGAAGACGAGAAGCAGAAGCATAATGTGGGGACGACACAAAGACAGCACTGACTATCCTCTCTGTAAAAATCATCTCTCTGGAAACCACAGGACCAATGAAGTGGAAACTTCACATGCTTCATCTCACCAATAATGACATGTTATTTCATTCACGAGGTCTGAATCGGATTTTCAATGTGGACGTTGTGACACCCATATTGAATAACCTCTGTATGATTAACAAAACATATAGTCACTAAATAAAGTGTTCACGTGTTTTCTCACATTGGTTAATTTCTCCCACTATGATAGCCACGACGCCTCTATTGTTGTACTCATGCTTGTTCAAATACACTGAGTACTGTTGAAACGAACTTTCTAAGTTTCCTTTAAACAATTTTCTATTTTCTATCATATTTTTCGCAAAAAAATGACAAAGCTAGAGTTGCTAAGTTTATTCCGCAAACCTTGCACATTCCATGACATGAACGAAAGACATCCATGCGGAACCCGGCCATCCTCTAAGCTCCCAGAAGTATCGTGCAGTGAGTCGTCTTCCCGCCTCTCGGTCAGCCCATGTGCACCCGGTTGTGTTTTCGCGAGCTGTACAAGGGAGTTTCTTTCCAGATCATATGTAATAGTTTTCTCATTTTTAAATAAAAGATTATGAAATCGCAATCGACACCTCTCACCACGTTCTCTAGCCTCATCCATCATCACTTTGAGGTGTTTGTGTATCTGCCAGACAGCATAGGAAAAGTCCTCGGATACCGAATAGCCAGTGTCTTTCAGGAGTTTTGTTTTGCCAAGTACAGCTGATTCTACATTAAAATCAAGGAATTTGACGGTAATTGATTTACCCCAGTTAACACGATGAGCTCTTTCAATAACCTCTTCAGTATCAATTTCCATAGTGTTTTCAGACTTTCTCGCACACAATCTTCACAATCTTTCCAGGTTTCGTTCTGTTGAACTTTCGGTACACCGTGATTGTTTCGTCGACTTGGATTTTCAAGGTAGTCCAGTTTCGTAGTGAGTGTTTCCATTTCTTTTCTCAGGGGTGTATTTTGTCTCCATATGACCACATTTTGAGTTCAAATCAGTAACCGTTGTTGCAAGTGAAGTCAGTGTTGCAGTCATCATTGATAATTTGGACGACAAATCAATCTGAACTTTATCAACTTTAGTATAAACCAACTTTATTTCAGACAGCAGTCAGATCAATATCTGTCAAACCTATTGGCGTTGACCGTCCTTGTTTAGCTCCACTGTCTCAGGACCAGGTTCTATTCCAGAACATAATAACAGTATCTGTGTAACCGGAGTGGTTTTGGTGAATGAATCCACAAACGCAGGTTGATTTATAGATGACAGTTGTTTAATTCAGTAGAATTAAATGAAAAGAGGCACTGTGAAAATAAATACACAGAGTTAAAATACGCACAATCCCTACACATACAAATACAATATTACATTATCTTATAAACAAATATTAGAATTTTATATGATCACATACATGTACATTGCTATGATCAGTCGTAATTAGTTTTTTGCTCTAAATATTATGAACATTTGTCATATAATATATTGACAAACATATCTTATTAATAACGGGAGAGTGGTGATCAATACATCAATACATAACTCACCATTTCAGTACATATGAACATTAATACATATGAAATATAATAGTCCTGACCAAGTGTATGGCACTGTGCCCTATGATGTCACAACATCATATACATCATTTGATTTACCGGAATACACCTGAACATATATATGTGCAGTTAGGTGCAGAACCTCAGTTTAAAGGTAAATAGCTACTAATATATGTATTCATTATATCAATAAGTTAAGTAGTATATCAACATGAAAATGCTATTTAAGATTGGCTATAATAAACATATTGAAGCTATTTATCAACTATAACTACATTTACCTGAATACGATGACAGATATGATATATATTTATCACACCTAATAATATAAGTACTATTAAAATAAGTTAAGAAAACATACATATGCACCTTAGAAAACCCTTATTATATCAAAGCACTAAATAAGAACACAAAACTAAACAATTTAAACACAAACTAACCTGTGACAGTTGACTGAATTGTTTCACCGATGAACTGAACTTGTTTCCAGAGTCAAATACAAGTGTAAATTCTAACTGACCAAACTGACCTGTCACTGAAAGTTAGGGGCTGGGGCTAGACAACAGAGACCAGAGAAACAATAGAGAAGGCAAGCGCAAGAGTGACTGTGCTATTGCAATAGTGAAGCAGGTTAGATTGGGAGGTTGAACAAGGACTAAGATTTAGGTATTAAAAGAAGAGCTGACCTTAAAATACACTTGATGATATATACATAATTACATACTACTACATCTGCACAACACATTTTAGACACACCTGGCTCAAGTTCAAGTTGTCATTGATGTGGAGTGAAGAAAAGGTATCGCAAGATGATTTTGCATATAGAGTTAAACTTCTGACTGCTATTGGTTTGCCAGTTTATAGTTGAGTAGTTCGTACAAATACATCATCACATGTCCTTCCGAAAATGTGGCTGAGGCTGTGGCTCCTGTTGTCGTTGTAAACAAAGGACAGATCAAGACACTTTGCTGACACAAAAAGTTTCAAAAGCATCACAGACGGATGGTGGCGGAATCAATGTGAGATAAATACACTTCAATCATTATGTAACCGTAAGACCTGAAGACCATATAGTTAGCAATAACGTTGTACAGATTACCATGCGGTAAGACAGGGCAATCAATGGCGTCCATTTTGAAGATTGGGAGTAAGGCAAGAGTTTGCAAACCGCTGTCATATAGCTGGAATATTGCTGGGTGCGGCGTTAAACAAGAAACCAAACCAAAGCCTATCTGTTTCACACCACTGGTTTGGGTGAAAGTTCCTGTTCTTGCTCGCCAAATGTCAATCGATACACCTATTTTATGTTTGTATGATCTGCATAACGTCAAACTTTGTGTATTGTAATAATATTCACAAAGCTTGCCCACAAACAGAAACGCCGATCTGTCTCAATCACGCATGCTCGCCACTATACGTATGATAAGTAACTAAAACGAAATAAAAAAGACAGTCAAGAAGGAGCTTTACTCAATATGGGCCAAGAACTTTTTGTCCATTAATCGTGAATCGTACTGAAATGACATTAGATTCGATAGCTGGTTTGGCGTTGGGCTGCTGACCTCCTACCCATAATGACACGACAGCTGAAACGAACAATGAAAAATAGTTGTATCATGACGTCCCCGTTGGATGGATATTTTGAAATTGGAAACACATGACTATATAAAGAGGTTGAATGATGTGGACAAAATTGTCTTAACCTACTGCCTTATCAAGGCATCACTTTCTTGTTTCCTGCAACATGAAGGGTGAGTGAACGAGATGAGTTTATTGCCGTTTTTGGACACTATTTCAGTTATATCACGGCGTGCCAGCTTGATGTGGGAGGGAATCCCATTCTATTTAGATAAATATACAGGACTCTTTTACTGCCACAGCTTCGTTTGTGTCCAGTATGAATGCCACAACACAATTTATAAACTCAAATGTCTCTGAAAGGATAAGAGAAACTATATGCTGCGTTTGTGATAAGATAGGTGACGATGGTGACCTTACCTCCAAAAAGAAGCCACGGAAGCGAATGGGTATTTATCGAAACAAGCGAGTAGAGATGACTTTGTGACATCTTTCCATGGCAAAGCGCATCCTTGATCCTGTTATTAACTTATAAATCTAGATTCGATTATTTACTGACCTTGTGCGATATCAGTGTTAGTGTGTTAAACAACATTAGGTATCTAATTTGTTATGAATCATAATCAATTACAAACTGGAAGAAGCTCACTTGGCTCAACAATCCATCCATCCTCGTCAGTCCACACTGCCATGGCTTCTGCCGAGATGGTGAAGTTCCAGTGAGTCTGTACTCCCCGCGGTGCAAACACCCTGTTGAAGGCCACCAGCTGAAGCTGTGGAACCGCCACAGGGACCATAGCCCAGGATATATACACCTGGATGACCTGAAGTAAGAAATTCTCTTCCCATACGTACAGACATATTTCCTTAACAATCTGTCTTGATATAATATTACGAATATTTTTTTAGGGTAAGCCTCAAAGGCTGTATTAGGTTCAAGCTGCATTTTCATTCACTTAGAAACTAGAAATCACCCAGGAATACTACAACGCCTGCTCGAACCACCTAATTTATGACAAGAAGAAGATAGTTCATTGTATATTTTTCGTCATTCAGGACTGGGAAAGGCTTTTAACTGACAGTTATTCGTCTCTCAAAATGTTTACCATGAGATAGTTTCTGAGGTGACGTTCCCAATATTGTCAGACAAACAAACTTTTCTCATTATTAGATAGGTTGTATATTATTCAAGAAGGAAAACATTGCTGAGATGTTCTCCATATTGCAACAAATTATTGCCGGATGGGTTGTTAAGTGAATATATACACCTTTCTCCATTTTGGGAGACTGGTATACATACGTGTAAATCGTCATCGATCAATGATATTTGAAAGACGAATGATGAAATAGTTTGTTCATGGTTATTCGGGACGTTTGAAAGTCAACGAAAGATGAAATGCTTCGTTATTCGTTTTTCAGGAAATCAAACGAGTGTAACGAAATATTTCGTTTTTCAGCAAGTGGTTATTGCATCCATGTATAGGACCTCTGACTATAGTTCCTGCTAAGTGAACTCTTTTGCATATTTATTGGTTCATGGTACCAAGTTCTTCATAATACAGGGGGGCACGGGTGGCCCAGTCGTCTAAGGCGCCGCGATTCGCTGTGCAGAGTTGCGTCCCTTGGGCACGCCAGAAACCTATGATTGTGGGTTCGAATCCCGGTTCGCCCCGATTATGTTTCTAGGTTTGTCATCACCATATCCGTGCTCGTGGGTTTCACCGAAGTGGTAAACGTCTAAGACCTGCATCACTTCGGGCTTTCCTCCCACATTAAGCTGACACGCCGTGATATAATTGGAATACTGTTAAAAGCGGCGTTAAACCCAACTCACTCACTCACTCACTCACTCAGAGTAGCACTGTGGCACTTTAGCAAACCTTCTGTGTGATAAATGTATTGATCTCACTCTCCTTCTTTGCTGTGCAGAAGGGTTGCTTATTGTTCACACTACTATGAAGACTCGCATCCTGGTAATGAAGTAGTCTAACAGGTCAAGAGTCGTGTTGACTATCGTGCCTACTATGTAAGAAGCATGCCATCAGGGGTTTAAGGGTGAAGGTGTCTACTTTCATAACTACATACCTCATCGGCATCAAAAGACCCTCGATTGGTTAGTGAGACAGAACAAGTGATGTTGTCCCCGGCCGTCACCTGAGTGGGACACTCCAAAAGGTCGTAGGAGAAGCTGGTGTAGGACAGACCGTAGCCGAAGGGGAAGAGAACTGGATACGTGGCGTACCGGTAAGTGCGTCCGTTCATTGAGTAGTCCGTCATCTGAGGCAACTTGTGAAAAAATGTACTCAGATAGCACAACTGCATGTAGTTCAGGACGACATGTTCGGTTAAAGTGAAATAAGATGACTGCGATGTCCATGCATGTTTGACAGTCACTGCATTAAAGTTTGTTCTTTAAAACATATTACTCTTCATGTGTATGATTCAAGTATGTTTGATCCTGGCAGTATTAAACTCTTTACCCGCGGTCCAAAATCGTATCAACCACCAACTGTATCACGAAATACTTAGTCATGATCTACCGATACCGCCCACCATTCATACATTTAAGCAATCGAAAATAGTGTAACCATACATGGTTTTGTCAACATACGGAATTGATATACAATGGCCATGTAACTGGAAGTCTCCCGGCAGGAACTGAGTTCGGCCCCTCCGCCAATAGTACTCGCCGCAGTGCCTCGCCTGTTGCTTGTGCTGGGAAAAATAGTTCCATGATAACCTGAACATTGGGACTCTCAACAGCCCATGTAATGTTGAGCGGCCCTGCGTTGAATAGAAGGAGGATGACCTTGGCACCAGATGCTGGAAAAAGTAGATAAATAGTATAACATTGTAACTTTGACAAGTATATTTCTTCCACTGTGTTAACATACTTTGGCGGCTGATTTTTCTATTTTGTTCCCTTTACGATGCCTCCATTGTTGCGTGTGTCTTGGCAAAATAGCTTCATGATAAATTAGATGTTTGGACTTGCAGCAGCCAACGTGATGTTGAGGAACCCACCATTGAACAGAAGAAAGGTGACCTTGTAACCAGAAGCTGGTTGGAAAGAGGTAATGATACCCAATCCTGGCGGCAGTAGATTGTGAAAGTGAATATCGTGGGAGTAATGGTAGCTGATATTGCAGTAGAGGTACAGAGAAATAACACTGATTATAACATGACATTCAGTGATATCCTACATGTCTCAGTTTCGACTGACATGTCCTGCCTCCACCTACCCTGACCGAAAGTGACAGCATCCTGCAGCAGCTGCAGCTGTAGCCCTGGGAGGTCCAGGTTGGCCCTGTCGTTGCCTTCAGATTCTAATTCCTGACCTGAATGGAATATCATGGAGCATCGATTACAACGTTTTATCCAGTTTACAATAGAATAAACCATGTTTGAAGCTCCAACTAATTCCGAATCTGACCAGGGTAGAGAGGACTATTTTCTGAGTAAATACATTAAATAAGTGTTTGATATTAAAACAAAATGTGGCAATATAATGTTCTGTAAAATCGAGCAAAACCTTTTAAACTTTTGTTTATGATTCAGAACATTGTGTCAACTTAACGTTATACACCAGTGACAGGAAACACAATTAATATAAATCTTGGTGTGCCAGAACAACAGGCAAAATGTTACACCTTGAAAACGTTGACTTTTGAAAACGTACTTAGTTCTTATTTTATTGTCACTGTTTAAACTAAACTCAACTCGAGATGATTAAAGTCAACTATAGCGAAGAGTTATAAAAAAGGTTACCTAGCAATAAAGGTTTTCCGAACATTACATAAGCCCACCTGTTCCCAGACAAGCGAAAATGAGATCAGAGCCAGTTGCTACTGTCTGGACTTCCTGGGAGTTATACTGAGTGCAGTTGTTGTCCGTGCAGCCTGCCCCATACCTCACTGTAGACCAGAGATACTTTATGCCTTGTAATGGGTTGGTGGTGTATTCGAGGTTCATGGTGGGAGCATAATCTCCGAACAGTTGATATGTATTGTTGGCCATTGGTCCGACAACCTGTTCAACAAGGATTTGTTGTTATGTACTTGGACCCTGCCAGTATCAAAATGTATCATCATCTGCAAACTGCAATCTTGGCATGTTTTCCAAAGTGTAAAAATACGACAGGATATGGCGAACAGCTGTATCATGACTGACTGTAAGGACCCATTCACACCATTTTCATCTCAGTTTTGCCGGTTACGTGCTATCTGCTTCATCAGATATTGGACACATATTATTCTGTGGCATTGATGTTTGTGTTGTGAGTTGTACGCTTTTCCTAACGCATGTACCTACCGACACATTTTTGTAGCTTGATGGATTTAAGGGAAGGACATTTTGGTTTTTCAGCAACACAAATGTCTTCATTGCTGCCTCAACAGACAGGTTCCTGTGAGCCTCACCCTGAACTACCGACATGTTTAGCTTTGTGTATTGATTCATTTCCGGTGGGTCGAACTCTCCAAGCCTCATTCTGACATTGAAAAGCTCCATAACTCTGGTCCTGACCTCGTCTTCTGTCAGCTTGCCTTGTTTCACAGCATCATCTGAAATACATGTTGTGTCCATGCAAGCCTTGATGTTTGCAACAATGTGTCTGTTTTGGTAATAAACGATTGTTTGGATCAATGTGCAGAATAATGTATAATATTTGTTTGGATATTGTTTAACACCACACTCAGATATATTCCAGCTATATGACAGCAGTCTATAAGTAAAAGAATCTGGATCAGACACACCTGAGATTAAAAACATGAGCATGAATCTATACAATCGAGATTCGATGAGATGCATCAACCAAGACAGCGAACCTGATCACCTGATCCCGTCAGTCACCTCTTAAGACACTCTTTGGTTGCTGAAGGGCGGTCGGGAAGCCTCTTGGTTAAAGCGTTCACTCGTCCCTCCGAAGACCCAGGTTCGACTTCACAATATGTAAAGCCGAATATTGCTAAAAGCGGCGTTAAACCATACTCACACACTTACTCACTTCTGTTGCTGAAGCCAAATTCAAACCCGCATCTTCACAGGTCAAGTTAATGATCTCCACTTTTTATTTTCTTATTTTGGAGAACAACATATGCTTAGGTTCGCACGTACGGGCAATAGGGTTCGGTGAGATACACTAAACAAAGCAACCTCAGCTCTGTTGGTAAACACTGTCTCCAGACGGGTAGATAATTCACACTGAGGTGTAATTACTCAGTACCATTGTAATTGGATACTTTCGACTGGCAACAGGTTAGGTTTTACATTGTAACAACTGTCTGTGCCTTGTGATATCTGATGCTACTTCAACTCTTATCAACATATAAAGGTTATATACATGTATATCATAATCTACTGACATTTAATATTTATTTCTATATGCATCAGATTGCATGATTTAACGATGGTCATGGGCTCAAAAGCTGTGGCGCCAAAAACTACAACCCACCTTAGCAAACATTCATTTCCCATCATTTTGTTATCACGTTTGTTGCTCAATGTACAAAATACCACTTGATGTTGAATAAAATGGACATGAAGCGTGCTTTTCCTGTAACAATCAAGAAAATACACATTATGTTCGGAAGACAATTGTGTTTTCAACACCGATACCACTTACCAATTGCAAAGAAAACTGGATGATCGTCGTGATAGGTCAATTCGAGGTTCAAGCCAGCCTTCACACAGGATGCAGCAGCGTCGACAGTGTTATTGAAGTAGTGTTGATTCGCTATGATTTCAACAGCGCCTTCGTCACTGACCACATAACCTTTGAAACCCCATTCGGTTCTCAGAATATCCGTCAGGAGCTTCTGGTTGGCACATGCTGGAACTCCGTTGATTCTTAAAAATTGAATGAATCAAATGTCAACACGATAATATCACTTTATTTGATGATACCAGGTGGCCTAGAAGTCAATGAAATAGTGTGTTACTATCTGGGGAGTATTTGAATCAGTGTCCAAGATGAAGACCATTTTTCCGCGTTTCCTTTGATAAGGATTGTCCATTTGGACAAAGACCAAACTGTGTGCATATGCCAATTCCATGGAGGTTGAATCGACACAAAAAACATACTGTGAAATGTATCCAGCTACAAATTCAACAGCTGCCTTCAAAATAACTGCCTCATCATCATATTCATCCTCTCCTCTCAGCACTTGAAAAATATACGTATGGACAGCTGCAAACACTAGAGAGCCTGAAAGAATGTGTGAAGTTAGCATATTATTCAGTCACAATATGCCGACCTACAGCATTTATGATACTGTGTCATTACTTCCTGCTGAAGACAGATCATAACAATGTCCGGATTCAGAAGCAGCAATGGAGCTTCACTGCACGTTGAGCAGCCAGTTTCTGAATTCTCAGACTATAAGGGACCTTGCCTTGACAGAATCATCTTAACACATGTAACAAAAATATCATTAGTTGAATAAAAGTTGGGTTTATATATAATCTGAACAAGAAGTTGAGAGCATGATGAAAGGCATTCAACCCAGATACCTGAAAATGATGCATGGGCGCGCCTGCATATTTGCTAAACATAGACTGAAAGCAAATGTTGAAACATACTTCTTGTTTCTGTGCTCTCTTTAATGTTATATTACTCACCTATTGAAGCTGCACATGATACTGTAGGTGCCGGCCATGACACAGAAGCGGAATGCTGGGAGGAACGTTGTGTGCCAGTCGGCCTCAGACACCTTTTAACAACATGTGCATTTTGCATGAAGCAATGAATAATTATATTCTAAGATTATATGAATAATGTTATTGGACTACCAACGTCAGGCAGGAGACCCTTCATCAGATATAACCCAATCTATAAATTCTTATTTTGAAGTTTAAGAGATTTTTCAAAAAACTTCAAAAGTGACGGTTACATAGTGTGCATAAATTTCACCTTTTGACGTTTACAAGATTTTTGACCGGAACTACTTTTCATGGGGATTCCCCGCATGGAACAATTTTCTATTCTCTCCCCTTCTTACCACGATCGTGATGATCGGTTATGCTGGACAATACATTAATGCTTCTGTTTACTCTCAAGTTTTCATTAAAACACTTATGTACATATTCGCATTACCCCTTGGATGCCACAGGGACACGTATGTCCCTCCTCTTCTACCCTCACTTTGAAGTCGAGTACAAATCGCAATATGTGACACAAAATACTCTTCAATGTTTTCAATTCTGTGGGAAATTCCCGGTTCTGTGATATCGGCCAATGTACGTTTAGGCCAAAGAAAATGACAGAAAATGACCTCTGAAACAATCAAAATAATGCCCGGACAAAACGAGGAAAACATGTTCATGTATACTCAGAAAAACAAATTATTTGTCAGTGTATTTTATTAACAGTTCAACGTACATTGTTCTCATTCCTGACCTTGAACTCACGTTACCTTTGCATCAAAACTGAACCGCGAAACTGGTATATTTTCAGGACCACCATAGACATCGAAGTGCTTGCAGCCGGCGTTGGCTCTGACGTAGCGGGGATCGCTTCCTTGGAGACCCTTCACGAAATTTGAAGCAAAGACTCCTGACAGGTATGGATCCTCTCCATACGTTTCCTGTGCAGAAACATTAATCACGTCTATTTCTACCTGTGCATAAAAGTGTTTATGATTAGTCTCGACTGACATGATATGGATGGAATCTCATGACATGCTTCTGATGTATCTGCGGAGGACAGGTTCTCCCTGTTTTCTTTTTAAAGTGGATTCACGATTAGGTATTTATCCCCTATGGTTATGAATAAAATTGTGACTGTCAATTCATATGTTCTTTTGCCTTTATTTTACCTTTATCAATCCTGGTATATGGCAGTAAATGTTATTCTTAAACAATGATTGGAACGTTAACCGTATAACATTGTTTCTGTTAAGGTTCGATAGAAGCTCATTGCATTGTGTTTGGACAGAGATTAGTTGTCAGGAATGTAGTACTATTTCATGTGAGCAGTTGTGAGGAAGTTACTATATTTAGAAGCTGGTGTGATGTGTAAACCCCCGGATCACCGTGGACTGTGATAAAGAGTTATAGAAACATGGAGAATATTCTATGTTGTGATGGCACTGAGTGGAAATTTCTAGATTGTGTGTTTATTTGTTAGTTGTTAAAGGCTGTCCTAAGCAAACGTCCAGCTATATGAATGCAGTATGTAAATAAACAAGTCTGAACCTGACAACCCAGTGATTGACATCATGATCTACGCAATTGGAATACGATGACATGCATTAACAAGGTCAGCGAGCCTGACCACCGGATCCCGTTAGTCGCCTCTTACGACAAGAATCGGTTATTGAAAACCTGTTCTACAATTTTGTGACACCCAGCTACAGCTTTTAACTATTCACATGCCCCAGTGTTTGTCCCTGTTCATATGTCCTAATAATCAGAGGAAAGTGTACATGACTACAAATTTATGCAAACTGAGCCTCATCACTTCTCACATGCACACTATGTGTCTCTACGTCATTATATTGATGCAAGCGTGAAATGGATGCAAAAATGCGAGTGTCCCGTGCATTGACAAGGTGACGCAGTTTTGTAATGATATTATGTAAATGAACTGCTGTCACCCAATACCATATCCTGGAATTATAAGACTACAGCCTGGGTGTTATCGTTTGCTTACTAGTTTTAACGTTCAAGGGTAGCTCTACACAATGCACTTTAGGCCAGGGGTCGACACTCGGATTAATTTGGTGTTATAAGACCGCTGTTATAAAACAATGAGGTAAGATGATGTTATATCAAATATGTTGTTCCACTGGTTCATAACCCCATGCCTCTGATCAAGTGGAAGTCGTGCAATGCTTTTGGCAGGGATTGTGATTAATGATTGTGGAAAGGGTTTTATTGCTTATATTTAGGGACCGACCATTTGATATTCTGTGGGGGAGGCCTGGTATTTTGTCTGGAGATTAGATACTTATATTAGAGACAAGAAATCCCAGTCACAAGTAGAGTCGACTGCACGATTTTCCGACGATTTCATGAGCATATGTTTATGAATAACTATCAAATAATGATGATGTAAGGGTCAAAATTGTTAGGTTTTTATTTCAAAATCATATTTCTTTTTGTTTTGTTATCAAAGTATTAAAAATGTAAATCATATTTCGTTTTTGGCAAGTATTACTTCATATTTCATTTCTTTTCCATTCCAAATTTATGTTTACTCATTTTAATATGCCAAAGACCATAACTGCTTTGAGTCATATAATATTTACCAGGTGGCCTCAGAAATTAGATTTTTTTCTAAGTCTAAGAACAATGGTGAGTTTGCTGAATTGTGTTATATATAATATTTTATCATTATCTACATGTGTTTAAATGTTTTAGAGCAATAATTTAGTTATAAAGTGTATTTCAGCGTTTGTTAACTTTTTCTGTTTACATTTGCATGGTATATCATGTCACTAAAAGTAGTAAATTTTATTAGGTTAATTCATTTATAATGCATATGTCACTATAATTATTTGCATTAATGTATCATTTGATCAAAATAGTAATTATTGTTTATTTATTTTGTATTTCAGTCAATCTGAAAATAACAGTAATTAAGTGAGCGAGTGAGCATGGTTTTACGCCGTGTTCAGCAATATTCCAGCAGAAATGGGCTTCACACATTGTACCTATGTCGGGAATCGAACCCGGGTCTTCGGAGTGACGGGCGAACGCTTTAACCATAAGGCTACCCGACCGCCCCAACAGTACGTCAGAAAAGAAACACATTTATGTGAAAAGAAAAGAAAAGAATGTGAAGAAAAGAAAAAAATGTTAACACTAAAGAATAAAGAAGTCTTATATTCAAGAAAGACTTAAAGTTATTACAGATGATACCAGGAAAACACCTTGAAACAATGTGTTTTAATGGCAGACATTGAAGCATAATCGTTTATTTCATGGTTTTCAAGTCCCTGCGTGAATCTTCTTTGAGAAAGATGGCTCCATACATGAAAAGAACTAGTACTCTATAGATATATTAGAGGCAAACGTAGCTTATGAAAACATTTACATATGCCTTACTGGTATTATTACTTTTCGATAGTGATTCATGAACACATGATTTGAATCGTTTAGTCGACTCTGCATCATGCAGAGATTTCTGTTGGATATGGAAAGGGTTTTGTCGCTTCATTACCATATATTGTATAGTTGCTTTGGGGATCATTGGACTTTCCATTAGCATTGGCATTTAATATTAATGTAATTGAAAACAAAGTTCATGGTGAATTATATATTCAGACCATGTATTTTTCATGAGTTCCCTACCCACAAAAACTAAGTATCAATAGAGTATAAGTATATACGTCACACAGATGGTGTTACTTTAAAAGAACAAACATATGATTAAATATATATTTTACAGAACGGTCAGTAATTACATTTGCAAATATAATATGAAATTATACATTCGTTGCATTGACTCTAGGCAAAGCGTTATAGAACATAACCTCAAAGATAAGTGTTGAATAAATGTTAAAAACTGTCTCTGACATTATTCATGGGATCTCGCAATATGTCTTTTGACCTAGTCTCTGCCCAGGTTTAAAAAAAGACAACAGGTATACGAGCTTGATTGTAGGTAGTCCATGGTCTAGTTTCTGTGACGGTTTGGATACTCGCTGATGTTTTCGCTTCCCCTTTGGCGTTTCACACCTGATTCCTGCCCCCTCCAGTGTCTCTCACCTGATTCCTGCCCCACCTCGGGTCTCTCGCGATGTTAATGACTGGACTGAAACAGCTGATACCCTTGCGGTCGCCATATGTCCCGTATCTCGTGTAGTTGTTATACTTGGCCCTCACCTCCTCACCCGTGGCCTGGGCTACCCGGAATATCAGATCAGGGCTGCAGGAAGCGAAACCGGTTTTCATTTCAATATCATGGCAATAATTGATAACGTAGAATGGTGTTATTGTCATATATTAATAGTACGTGAGTCATATTGTACAAATACAGGTAATAAAAGAAAATGTCCGTAATCATATAAAGCCCATTGTAAATTCCGACTATATCATAATCATGTGTTTATATACCAGTTGTTCGCAAAAAAACGTGTGCACACACTGACCAATCCGTGGCTTCCGTCACGAACACACGCAAAGGCAAGTCAATTATTCACCTTAACAAACACGGAAAAAAACATGGTACAAGTCGAGAAAGGGATTTACAAGATGAGCTGGGTTTTGTCAGGCTCGCTGACTTGGTTGATGCACGTCATCGTATCCCAATTGCGTGGTTCGATGCTCATGATGTCAATCACTGGATTGTCTGGTCCAGACTCGATTATTTACAGACCGCCGTCATATGGTGTGAAATATTGCTGAGTGCAGCGTTAAACAACATGAAAAAATACTCCTTGAGTGCTGTATAACCCACATCAAGCAACTTTTGAGCGGAGTCCTATGACATTGGCTGGGTCTGATGGAATACTGCTCGAAAATAAAGGGATAGCCATCCTTCTTGTCACAAAGTCTTGAGAAAAGTTTATTGTTACATGTCCCAGTTTTGTCAAGTATTTTACTGTTCGTTACACATTTAAGGAGATACGGATACATTCAATTGTGACAATTATATTTGAAACAGAAAAACTTTAACGTGCAGTTATTCAGGCGTGACGACTAAATGAGTTTTTTCATATATATCACAGCATGTGCGTACCTGAATACTCCCCCCGCAAAAAGGGAAAGAAAAAAAGAAGAAACGACTGATTTTATCATTGTGGTGAGATTATCATTTTTTTCATTATTCCCTAACTTACATCGTGCAACCATATGCAGAAAAGAGTACTTGTGTATGTGTTTGTCCTGTGGTCTTACCTAAATGAGGCTCCAAGTCCTATGGCCTGGGGAAAGGAGGTTGCGTCTCCCGCCCCAACGTCCCCTCGGAGACACTCGGTATCCCAGGAATATGGTTTGATACCCAGGCGGGGTATAGCAGGGGCGGGCCCAGCTTGAGCGCCTTCACCCCCACGTGACATTTGTAGTATGATCTCGTCGAGGGTGAGACGACCTACGAGGTCATTGACTCTGTCTACCCAGGGTAGAGAGATATTTCTAAAGGGGTAATCCCCCGCCACTAGGGGAATGAAGAAGAGAAGCAGAAGCATTATGTGGGGACGACACAAAGGCAGCACTGACTATCATATAGAGCCGAATCTTATCTACAATTGCTTGCATATATATTTTGCCGTGACCCGTTTTCCTTCTTAGATAAATCGTTTAACTATTATACCAAGGGACCGACCTTGACATTTCAAGAAATAACCTTATGAAAATAACATTATCCGGCCATAAATATTGTACCCAGGCGTGAACACAAACAATAAGTTATTCATGACATGCACATGGAAATAAGTTAAGCAACACCCGTATGTTCTCAGACCGGGCAACTTTAATGAACTAGTGCATGAGATGTGCAAAGGATTTCCATACCAAATAAATTATTTAGTGAAAAGGGTTGAGGAGGAACAGAGCTAAGATTACCATGAAATAATGTGTTTTGTTTTGGAGATGTTACCGATTTGGAAAATGACTTTATTTCATCCAAAAAAAATGAATGTCACTTTGGTTGCACAGACTAATTAAACTGTCAGTACCATTCACACTTCTGGTTCACGGAATTGAAGAACAATGTCCTGTAAGTCCAAATTTTGACGGAATTGAAGAACAATGTCCTGTAAGTCCAAAATTTCCATCAGTATCTTGTGCAACCTCCCTGAACCCGAACAACTGCTTCAAGACGCCTCCTCGTTCTTTGGGTCAATCTCTGGATTTGATTCAGAGGAATTCTGTCCCATTTGTCAAGCAGCAGTCAAGCAGCAGAGCGTATAGACAGGTGGGTCTATTTGTCGAACACAGCGGCCAAAAATGGGACAGAATGGGACAGAATTCCTCAGAACCCTCATTATCTCATGGTAATCTTGGCTACATTCCTCCTCAACTCTTTCTCGTCATTAAATAATGTATTTGGTGTGGAAATCTTTTACTCATTTCATGCACTAGTTCATTGAAGTTGCTCACTCTTAGATTATACGGGTGTTGCTTAACTAATTTCCAATTGTATAGAAAACGTCAACGCCAGAGAAGTTAGACTCGAAAATCAGCCGAAACACATTCCATTGGGCGCAGGAGGCAAAACAGAGGTGTAATCACACATGAATGCGTCAATGAAAATAAGCAATAACCAGCAAAATAACTAAAGCCACACGATATTGTTCAATCACAAAAACAAAAATAATCGGTCATTTTTGCTGTGGATGGAATTATGCCACATGGAACGAACTGAAGGAACACTCCATATGCAGTCCTTATGGCATATGTCACACGATGTGATTCAGAGGCCAGCGTACAGTCAGTAGCCAGTGTGTTCACTGCAGCATTGATGCAGGCCTCACACCTTCGCGTAATTGAGGCCACTAAATGTTGAAGAACGACCTTGGAATTGGCATTCCACATCCTGAGAAAGGATACGTCCGTGTTCCTGAAACGTTGTTTGAGGATCAGGGAGACGTTTCAAACGTGGTTCCATTTCATCCCAGACATGTTCGATCAGGCAATCTTGCAGGTCAGGGCAACACATTACCATTGTTCTCAGACAGATATTCCAGCAACATGTGGTATTGCCATATCAGCCATTTGCAAAATATCATTCGGCTATCTTCAAGCATCCAAATTCGCACTAAACACAGTCCTTCCTGGAGTCGTTACCCATCGCCGAACATAACGCCACTATCTGCAACGCGTTTGCCTTGAAGAACATATGGCGTCATGTAACGTTAATCTCGACGCCTGCAGTCATCAGAACGGTGACAAAGGTATTGTGACTCATCAGTGAGGATGGCCCTTCTCCTCTGACGTGCTGTCCACCAAAAGTGTTGTCTGCACAAATGGAGACGTCGACATTGACGTTCTGCCATCGGGACTGACCGTCTGCTCTGGGCGCCTGGAGCGGATGCCGTAGATCCGTAGATGTCGACGGACTGGTGTGGTACGAGCATTGAGGGTTGCTGTTTGAAACCTGTGTTGGAAATCTATGATTCGAATTCAGAGATGTTGTCATGAGTGGGCGTCCACAACGGAGACGATCTCTGACGCTGTTGATAACGTTACTATAAATGCAATATGGTGTTCCTGTTGACGAACGAGGTATATGATTCAATCTTTGCTGTGGCTATGGCATTTTCAAAACGTTCGAAAGTGGTGCATTTCTGAACCATGCATTTCTGAAAATTGCTCAGATACGCATGATTCTAAATGCACATAGAATGAATTTCTTTGCTCTGTAAACATCATCTCCTCAGAAACCAGTGGACTGATGAAGCTGATACTTCATGACATGCTTCATTTCACCAATGATGACAACTTAATTTGTTGCTGAGGTTTGAGGTTTACCCACATTGGAAAAACTGTTTTAATTAAAACTAAAAACATTAATCGGCCATTTACGTTCAGAGTGTAATATATAAATTGTGTGCGTTTGCGTGTGCGTGTGTGTGTGTGTGTGTGTGTGTGTGTGTGTGTGTGTGTTCATAGTAATTCCTGCAATTTGATTGGCTAAATTGGTCAATTACAAAGTCACCGGTACTCCAAACAGTTTGTGGCTTTCTTCCCATAATAACACTGTTCAATGGTCGGAGTATTATCATGAAAAAGATCAAAATGAAAATGCTTCTTACAGACCCTGCAGTTAATCACCCAACCAACAGCCCAGACTTTGACCCTAGTGACTATTTCCTGTACTGACAAATGAAATCTGCCCTACGTGGAAGACGCTTCCAGGATGACAAGGACATAAAGGCTGCCACAGAGGCGTGGTTAGAGGGCCATTCTGCGTTTTTTTATAAAAAAGTGGTATTAAAGTGAGTGTGTATGGTTTTACGCCACTTTTAGCAATATTCCAGCAATGTCACGGCGGGGGACACCAGAAATGGGCTTCACACATTGTACCTATGTCGGGAATCGAACCCGGGTCCCAAGTGGTATTAAAATCTTGAAGTACAAATGGAATAAGTGTATTGAAGTGAATGGAGATTATATTGAAAATAAGTGCAAAAGATATACTGCGACTTGATCTTATATTGAAGTTGCAAAACTTATTGAACGCGCCTCGTAAGTGAACAGTACTTTGGTGATTTCACGGCGTGTGAGCGCAAAGCTCTATGCAGTCACAGACGTCTATCACTTTGGTGAAACCCCGTACACAATTATGGTGTTGATAATCCAGGAATTTTCATTCATGCAGATTGGAAATTCGAACCTTCGATCGTCGATGTAGACACAACTCGATCTGCACAGCGAAATCCGTCGATTTTGGCGAATGGGAGAACCATTCCCCCACACTTTGGAGAGTACAGTGCAAAGAACAAGCCACTTTTACATGTTCTTATATCTCCCTTCTGACAACTACATTCAGACATGTACCATTCTTCAAAATCGGGCTGTATTGCGTCCGATACTTATACGTGTTATTATTTTATTGTTATTGTAACGTACATTCAAGGATTGAAGTTGTATTTATTGACGTTCATCAGCTGATGAAGACAGGCACGTGAGGCACTGTCTTCATCAGCTGATGAACGTCAACAAATACAACTGCAATCCTTATATTGATTCATAATTCATAACAAAACAATCCATTAAACATCAAACTTTAATTATTGGAAAGCGAACTTTATCAACGTGGAGAGTCGTGACGTCGTCCGTCCCAAACATTCCATTTTGAGTGACACCCCTTTGTTTTACAAACGGCAGAAAATGGCGGCTACCGCAATGTCATTCGCTTGAAATACAAGTTGCACCCAGTAATGTTAGCAATGGAAAGAAATACAGACCCGGCTTATGCTGAAAATGGATACATATTAACGTTCTGAGAACTTCTGGTGTGTGGCTGAGTCATACTACGGCTGCCGATGACGGGGATTACCGCATGAGGCGGCGCGGTTGGATTTACTGAGGCACGATAGTGTGGGGCTCGGTGATTTCTTTTGGTAAGTCGAGCATTCTTTGTTATAGCTTCGAATGGATGCTTCATTTCGGTCACCCGACAAATACATGATCTGTCTGACTTCAAAGCCTGCATCCTTAAGAGCCTAAATCGATGTCGCTCTCAGTTTTCCCTCATTATTTTTAATGTTATTTTTAGACATTGAGGAATTCCCCTAAATTATTTCTATATGTCTCCGCGCGATTGACAACGTAATCACGTGACATACTGACGTTCATCGGGAAATGAACGACAGTCAGCTTGGCAGTGTACATGTTCACCTAGGCGAGGTCACCAGCTCCTGTCAATATTTACATTTCGTATCCAAACATAAAGTAACTACATATGATGTCCAATATCTGACAGTCACAATTAAAATATGCTAGAGATTATATGCTACATATCGTTTAACTCAAAATTTGCATAATTCCAGTGAGGAAACATATTCTTTCAGTACAAAAGAGGCGAGGTGAAATTGGGTTTAACGTCGCGTCTAAGATTATTGCACTTATATAGCGACGCGCATGAGTGTGTGTGTGTGTGTGTGTGTGTGTGTGTGTGTGTGTGTGTGTGCGTGCGTGGCTGCTTGTACTAGTCCGGACTGATGCCGATTGATAGTGCTAGCACACTGAGATACCATGCTAATGACGACGAATAAAGTTTTAAGTTGTCACTACATCTACATGTACAAATGGATTTGGTAGCAATCGCTCGGAGTTAAACAATAAAGGAATACTGCCTGGTGGGAATGGTTTTTGTATGAATTGTTCTCACGCCGTTTTTCAAATTTCATCTTACGATGTCTAAAGTGAACACGTACACGCGGAAGGTACGCAAATGAATTCAGAGAACGCAGAAACAAATATCTGTATCCTTATATCCAAAGTGTCCCCGAACACCTTCTTTAGTGTGAAGTGATTTAGTTTTGAAGCATCTGTTTAAAATTCATGAACATACCGCCAAATTCTTGTGCAGTTTTGACTGGTTAAGTTTAGAGTATTAGTCGAATTCTTCAAGCTTCACCCGTCCTGGACCTTAATGGGTCTTCAGCATCCCAGTATCTGATATTCCGGTTTTGTGATTAGTCATGAATAATTCACGAACACCTGGTGTCATCACTGATCTTCAGGATCCATTTATATATTTTTCACAACAATTTATCCTTTTACGCCAAATCTGTTTCGAGACTGAAAAACAGATACTTAGTAACATAATACTTAGTGTATGCCGTATGTACTAAATCTGCATTGCACGTTCGTTAATATCTGTTGTAGCCTTTGTTATGTCGTACCTTGTTATGTTTGATCAACTCTTTCGGATTCCTGATTGACCAGCTTAGTTTGTCGGTCCCATACCAATGCTCTTTGGATTTCACAAGAGTAATGAACGTCCGAGACCTGATATATACATGTATCTTATATTTTATTCAAACCGGTATTAAACACAGCTCACTTCTTATTAAAAAATATAGGAACATAACCAGGACGCCCTGTGGTACATTCGGCAACGACTAAACATTTCAAACACTAAACTTTAAACTAGATTTCAGTACGTTGTGTAACACTGCTATATTAAGATTAAGTATATTTAACCATTTTGTTTGATACTTGTGTTTGTTTTTAGAATATGTCCTATCCGATCACTTTATACATATATAGAACACATATCCAATTCCATTCATTATAAACCTATACATGAGATACACAGGTGAAAAGTGAAGAATTAATAATGATTAATATCGACCAAGCGTTTTTTGTCCTATAACTTTGAACTGGCAAGAAACAACATTGGAGTCAATAGCTGGCCTGGCGTTAGGTTGTTGGCCTCCTACCCACAACGAAATGACACCTGAAAGGACAATTATGGTAGAACATTTATTTTGTTCAATGTCTTGACATTGCACTCTGTCATTTAGTAACTTGCACACACCAGGTAATGACGAAATGATTTTAGATACACAAATATTCTAATACTAATAATAATTTATTCGGTGAAGGGGTCTGTTGTATGTAGTCACCGTGGTAAACCTTTATGTGATAAAAAGCTAGGTTCTTATAAAAACAGCTGATTCCATTTTATTTCTTTTCCCTCTAAACGATAAAAGTGTTGAATAGTGACTTAATCAATTGTCAAAATATAAGAAATTATTCTGAACAAGCCAAATTGCCATTGTTACGTTACGGTGCCTCGTGAGAGAACAGACAGTGCGCATGGGGAGGTTCTTGTGGATCATTTTCCCCCAGTAGCCTTTGTTTGTGATATAAGCTAACATCTCCGAATCGGATTGTTACTGACTTAGTGCGTATCGTCATTCTTTGAAGAGTTGATCTTTCCTCACAATATTAACGACTGGTATCCTAGGCCGAGATCCAATTATCAACAAGACACCGTAATATGTCTGGAATATTTCTGAATATAAAACAAGTATGTTCTCTCTCCCATACAACGAGGATTGTTGTTCATGTAATCAACCACATTATTGCCTGGTACAGACTGGACTACTTCTGTTTTTTATATAATTTTGTTGATGTCGTAAGGGTACCTCGTGTGCCGCACGAGTCAGCTTACCTGGCTCAACAACCCATCCCTTCTGGTCAGTCCACACTGCGAGAGATTCTGCCGAGATGGTAAAGTTCCACTGAGTCTGCACGCCCCGTGGTGCAAACGCTCTGTTGAAGGCCACCAGTTGAAGCTGTGGAACCGTCACCGTGGCGTTAGACCAGGATATGTACGCCTGGATGGCCTGGAATAAGGACACGCCCAGTAGTTGGTTATATTCCAGATGTTGGAACATGCATGGGTCATATGTATGTCAACGACATTATAAGCAACTATAACTCATTGAGAAATGTTTGTTTCCCAGAAGGATATTCCTTTTAACATTTCATTAAATCCAAGCAGACTCAGGTGATGAGCTAAGTTGTCAAATTGTGAGGTGGGAAGACGGAGAATGTCAATGGTATAATCATTTTTGTGATCATGGGTGATGTTTGATAAAAGCTGTTGTCTCCTTTCAACAATCCATACCTCAAAGGCATCAAAGGATCCTCGATTGCTAAGTAAGACAAAACCAGTGACATCGTGCCCGGCTGTCACCTGAGAGGGACACTCCAATGTGTCGTAGAAGAAGCTGGTGTAGGACAGACCGTAGCCAAAGGGGAAGAGAACTGGATACGTGGCGTACCGGTATGTGCGTCCGACCATTGTGTAGTTGGTAATATCAGGCACCTTTAGGATTAACATGAAAGGATACATTTCATACATACGTGCCTACTGTGAACTTTAAAATAATACAGTGAACCATTATTCCTTGAAGGTTTATACCCGAAAAAAAAATTAACTGATGGCATTTTACCTCCACATCCATCTGCAAAATGTGACGTGGTCTTATTATTATTTACTTCTCTACCAACATTCCAACACTGCCATATGATCAAATATTGTCAGAGAATTAGGTTTTCTAAAACTGGAAAACAGTCTGCTCATGTTTATCCCTATCTGGCATGTTTTCATTTCATTTGAGTAGATGACACATTGTTATTAAATGTAATGGAATTATTAAAATTCTACTGAATATTGTTATGAACTAACAATGCAAAAGAAAAGAATTTACTCAAAACATGGCTAAACGTATAGATGCTGAAGAAAAAATAAATTGAACCAGAACGCAATCAAGCTTTGAATATGTTGAGGTTAAGTTTTGAGGAAGATAATTCATACCTACCGTGTCCATATATCTTGGCCACGTTACCGGAAGTCTTCCGGCAGGTACTGAATTTGGTCCCTCTGCCAAAAGTACTTGTCGCAGAGCCTCGCCTGTTGACTGGGCTGGGAAAAACAGTTCCATTATTGCATGTACATTGGGACTCTCAGCAGCCCAAGTAATATTGAGGGGTCCGCCATTGAAAAGAAGGAGGATGACCTTGGCACCATATTCTGGAAGTAGAGATGTAATGACCACTTGTTCAGTAGCATAAGACTGACAAATCGTGAGTGTGATTGAGAGAATGGGTTTTAAATATATTGAACATGAATCCTGGTTGTGTTATCCCATCCCTACCTACCCTTGCCGGTGGTGACAGCATCCATCAGCAGCTGCAGCTGTTGCCCAGGGAGCTCCAGGTTGGCCTTGTCATTTCCTTCAGATTCTAGTTCCCGACCTAAATGGAAACGTCGGCATAGAAACTTCATCTGGTAGACAAGTCTTAAATTGATGCCAAGAAACACACATCAACCGAAGCTAAGAACGTGTTCTGAATGTATGTGTTCTTCAGTGGTACGATTATGTGAATAATGTCTTAACTGACATTATGTCTATCACTGTCGCACACTGCTGTCACAAAGACAAAACTGACACGTGGTTAAAAGGTTTATATGCAACTAATGCTGTACACCGTCGTAAAATTCCTATATTAATACAGTCATGTTATTCACGTGTTGAACTACCCGTACAATAGCATATCAATCTCGAAAGAGAGTTTCGCATAAAAATTTGTCAGTTTCAATTATTATTTTGTGCAAATCTGGAATCAGATATCTCGAATCAGATTCCTGCAATAGCAAATGTTTATTTTTTTGTATAGAAACATTTACGAACGGGTTTAAATTGGGTGAAAAGTTTGCATGAGCTATAACCTCTTTCCACAAATGTATTTCGTCGCTATGGAAGATGGCCAATTCTTCCTTCCGAGAAAAATGGGTTGTCTAAATAATAATTAAGGGGCAGCTATAGGAACATAGGTTTTGGGGATATATTAAACCTTCTACCATGAATTTGACGTTTGACGACCGCATCACCGCGGCAGCTCTTATTAATACAATAGTACTATTTTCAGTCATTGTCGGTAGACATATTTAAATAATTATATCTACAATTACAGGTTACATAATGCACAGATGTGGTTACTACGATATTCAAAGGATGTGTGGTAATACATTTCGTGCAGAAAACACGATAGAAATCTACAAAGGGAATGTTTTTACGTTTTGGAGACAATAGAGAGCTTGGAATTTTGGCGCTTTTCTACATACGACTGTGACGTCATATCTTTTGCTTCACAATGATCGATATAACGTCATAATGGTGACGTACGATGTAGAGCGAAAGCCTTGCAAAGCTTGCTTTGTTTTCTATAGGGATGCCCACCTCATGTTAGCTTAACAAGTCTCCGTGGTTATATGCTTTCAATGCCTGCCATATGTTCGAGTGAAGTATAATGGTGTAAACAAACTGCTTGAGTATATACAGCACCATATTTTGTTCGGTGATTCCGCAATTCAGATCGATAACCCATTCAAAACACTGGACTCAACCCATGCCGCTTCACTCAGTATATTTCCTAACACCAAAGAGATCGCATTTGTTTAGTCATGGTAGAATGGAGATAGACATACTGTGTTTTCAATGTAGAGCTGGGTTACCTGTAGATTTAGCCGCGCTAAATGCAACATTTTAACCCTCACGCTGCGCGTTCGGTTCCAAATTCAATTTAGCTCGGTTAAATATACAGGTAACGTAGCTCTACATTGAAAACACAGTATGTGTATCTCCTGATTAACTCACCTGTGCCAAGACACACAAAAATGAGGTCAGAGGCTGTTACTGCAATTCGGACTTGGTGGGAGTTATACTGAGTGCATTTGTTGTCCATGCAGCCTGCCGCATACCTCACTGTAGACCAGAGATATTGTAAGCCCTGTAGAGGTGTGGTGGTGTATTCGCGGTTCATTGCGGGAGCATAGTCTCCAAACTGTTCATATGGATTGTTGGCCATTGGTCCGACAGCCTGTTGGACAATGACTGCTTTTCATTTTGTGAACAGTGGCAAGGAGGAAAGTAAGAAATGGTATGGAAATCTTTAATTACAGCCTTCACCATGTAAAACTTATTAATGTTGTGTAAATACGACATAATTTATATGGGAACTGTTTTCAATCTCGTAACCTACCGCTACGTTTTGGTAGCTTGATGGCTTCAAGGGAAGGACATTGTCTTGGTTTTTCAGCAACACAAATGTCTTCAATGCTGCCTCAACAGACAGGTTCCTGTGAGCTTCGCCCTGCACTATTGATATGTTTAGTTTTGTATATTGATTCATTTCCGGTGGGTCGAACTCTCCAAGCCTCATTCTGACATTGAACAGCTCCTTAACTCTGATCCTAACCTCGTCTTCAGTCAGCTTGCCTTGTTTCGCAGCATCAACTGAAGGACACAAAATAGTACTGGTACAGCACCTTGTCCATTTTAGAGCCATACCTCCAGGTTGACAGTTAGCATTGTTTAAAGTAACACTTAAAGGGAAATAAGGTTGCGAGAAAATGCGATGTGTCAAGCAACAAGACTTCAGCTCAGGCAAACGTGGTGTGAGGTGGTTATTTTCCACAATCTAACAACTTAACATTGATGCTACAAGAGAATCTCGGCACTACATGTGCCGAGTATATAATTGCCGTTAGTTATCAAAATGTCATTAACACTCATATATTAAATCGATTGAGAAATGATCAAGTTAGATTCATTGTAAATGGACAATATACTCTTGCTACCAAATCGTCAACAACGGCCTGTAAGGACAGTTTTGTTTCCAATTTCCTTAAGTAATATTAGTCATTAAGATTCATATAATTCTGGTCTTCGTCTTGTTGAATACAGGTGTATTTTGTATCTCTTAATGGCAAGAACAGGCCACCATACATATTGACGTTGTCCCTTCACCCAAAAACCTATGAACTTGGCATGAACATGTGCACAATGAAATAATAAACAATAACATCCAAATTTGGATACAATCATGCCCTAAACAGATTGACAAGGAAAGGGACTCTCGGTGGTATACTCAAATTATGCGAAACATGCACGTACCCACTGACAGAAACACCTGTTCGGCGTTAAAAAAGGACAATTCGAGGTTGCATCCAGCCTTCACACATGCGGTGACGGTGTCGACGCTGTTGTTGAGGTAGTGGTGTTTAGTGATGATGTTCTCAATGGCAGCTTCGTCACTGACCACGTAACCTTTGAAACCCCATTCGGTTCTCAGAATATCCGTCAGAAGCTTCTTGTTGGCACATGCTGGAACTCCGTTGATGCTTAAAAATAAGTGATTCACATATGGATTAGATATTCAAGAGATTATACCATTTCTACATATTATAATGCAAGATACACATACAGGATGTTTAAGGTTTCAATGTTAGGGTTTGCAGTTGTAAGAAGATGGATGCCTGTGGAATAATGAGTTGTCACTAAATTAGTTCAAGTAACATTTGCGTTGTACCAACCTGTTATAGCTACACATGATACTGTAGGTACCGGCCTTGACACAGGAGCGGAAGGCTGGGAGAAACGTTGTGCGCCAATCTCTTTCAGACACCTGAAAAGGTTTGTGTGTTTGTTGTTTAATGCCGAACTCAGCAATATTCCAGCTACATGACGGCGGTCTGAAAGTTATCGAGTCTGGACCAGATAATCCAGTGATTGACATCATAAACATCGACCCATGCAACTTGGATCGATGACAGGCAACAACCAAGTCAGCGAGCCTGTCCACCCGATCCCTTTATTTGCCTTTTACAAGCATACTCGCTTTTTACGACAAGCATGGGTTGCTGAAAAAATTCTACCCCTGATCGTCACGGCTCACACCTGAAAAGAACAATTCAGTATTCTATATGCATTCATTGATATAATTGTTCATAAACTATTATATTTCGGTTTTCTTGCTAAAATATAACAACAAAAGACTTTAAGTGAGAAACTAGTTTAGCTCGACTCCAGGCTAAATAAATGTATGCATGTAGCTTTACTTAAGACCTGGGAAATCACGAGAGAAATAACAAATTGTATTCAAGAACAAAGTAGTATGTATAAAAGTACAAATGTCGAGAAATAAGAACTTCATTATGAGTATATTCTTAACTCTTCAAACAACAATAATCTACCTTCTCGCAAAACGTTAATGCCAGTATATGAACATAAAGAACTTAGATGCAAATTCCCAATGTTTGAATAAAGTCTTTGATAGGCATTTAGAAGATCAGAAATTTAGAAGAACATATCAGGGCTACTTCTTTCTCATTCATCAAGTGAATGATGAAGTGGCAAAATGTAGCCCCGAAACGTCGTGGCAAATACGTCTCATTACATGACATGACATTACATCTCTGACCTCGGGCTACCTTTGCATCAAACGATAAGCGAGAAACGGGAATATTCTCGGGACCCCCATGGACATTGAAGTGTTTGCAGCCAGCGTTAGCTCTGACGTAGCGGGGATCACTTCCCTGGAGACCCTTTACAAAACTTGAGGCAAAGACTCCTGACAGGTATGGATCCTCTCCATACGTTTCCTGTAGTAAGAGAAATATGTTTGTATGACCCCAAAGCTTCTAAATATGTCAGTGCAAACTGGAAGATCACCAGATACAAGGCAGCGGACTCAACAGTGACGGAGTCTGATTCCCATACTTCAGTGGTGATGACTTATGTGATGATGATAGTGCTGACGAATCCTGAACACATGTCACAGTGAGCCAGGGATGCTCGCAAGGGACATGCAGCATAAAACGTCATGAAACATTTAAAAGAACCCGGGCAACGTCCAAATAATAAAATGACACACAAAAATAAACATCAGATTTGGCAGTTTTGTTTTGTTGCTTGTTTGTTGCTTAACTCCGCACTCAGCAATATTCCAGCTACATGACGGCGGTCTGTAAATAATCGAGTTTGGACCAGACAATCCAGTGATTGACAACATGAGCCTCGATCCACGCAATTGGGATCGATGACATGCATCAAACAAGTCAGAGAGCCTGACCACTCGATCCCGTTAGTCGCCCTTACGACAAGCATACTCGCCTTTTACGTCAAGCATGGGTCTGAAGAACTATTCTACCCCGGATCTTCACCGACCGATTTGACAGTAAAAAGAAGGGAGCTTGCAATAGTGATCGCCTCGATTCAAAAGAAAAATACTTGTACTCTCAAATATCAAAGCAGATGGGACACGCGACGCAATTCGTGGTGCTATTAGAGCATATTATACTTAGTATAAAGACCAATAAAGATCCATGTACATACAATCAGCAGAATTCATGTTACTGTGAATTTTTCGTTAACTTTACATATGGATCTGAGCTACTCTCTACAACTTTGCACAATTCATTAAAATATGCTTCCTATGACAAGATAATAGCATATTGAAATTATTAACGCTAGGGTTATTCCAGTGAAACGTAGGTATATATTTTGATATTAAGGAAGAGAAATATGGGCAAGCCACTATAAAGATGTTCTCAACTCTAGCTGTTCCAGAATACACAATTTACGATATCAACTAGCAATATTATACTTGATTTACTGGCTTTTGAATACCTGCCTTCTTGAATACAATCTCATTAAAATCAGACCTTAGTTCTCGCTACCGCTAAACGATGATCTAAAGACATCCCATTAGGGGTCACGTCAGAACGACCTTTCATCCGACTAATCAGAGCCTCGCCTACCAGATTATGAAGGTGACAGTCGGAATGTTATTTCTAATTATAATCATGCAACATCGAAAACTTTAACAGGGGGTATTCCGAACGATAGTTACGGGTTTAACGACTGAACCAATACAATCTAGACCATCTAGTAGCCATTCCAGAATGTTCTTTTGTTCAGGTTTCAAATTTGTAATCGAGAATTTGTCAAAATATGGTTCGAAGCGTAGTCGCCAATTTGAAATAAGTGCCGTAAAGCCATTCTATTGGTTGGTCAAAGTTCGCGAAAGGTCGGTCTGACGTGACCCGTAATGTGATGTCCTCAGATCTTTGTTTAGCGGTAGCGAGAACTAAGATCTGATTTTAATGAGATTGTGTTGAATTCAATCACATAATGTTTGTACAGAGTTGTTTAAAAATAAAATATCAGCTTCTTGTGGACCACAACAAAGCCATAACTGTAAATGTGACCAATACTCTTCATACATGTGAAACCTACATAACGCTTTTACAGACTGACTGACAAGATAACATTGCTTTGGCCATCTGTCATTAGCCATTGAAAACAACCAATATTGTAGACATATTTTGTGATAGTCAACAAATATATCATATCTATCACATTCACCAGTATGGTTTTACGCCGTTTTTAGTAATATTCCAGGAATAGCACGGCGGGGGACACCAGGAATGGGCTCCACACATTGTACCCATGTTGGGAATCGATCCCGGGTATTCAGCATGGTGAGCGAATCCTTTAACCGCTAGGCTACCCCACTGCGCCTTAACCACATTTGAAAGATGATTGTCCTATGGCACACTTGCCATTTTTATATACATGTCATTTCTATTCATCCATTTGTTAGTGCTTCTGAGTGTACCACCATTCCGAAAAACTAAGATTTATGTCTCACTTTAAATTGTACTTTTGAATCAATGCGTAGATCGATGCTCATGATGTCAATCACTTAGTCCAGAGTCATTCGTTTACCGACCTCCGTCATATTGCGGGAATATTGCTGAGTGCGACGTTAAACAACAAACAAAAACGTTTAAAAACATATAATAGCTATTATCATGACTGCCTCTCTTTAATATGGTTTACTAAGTAAAAGCCACACAACCCTTTCCCAATCCATAAGACACGTCTGGAAAAACAAATACGATTGTACCGTTCCGACTACATCATGAACATGTGTTTATGAATCACTATCAAGTGATGATACAAGGACTTAAGCTTGCCCAACCAGTGACACTGCCTAAAATCATGCTGCGTAGGTCAATTATTCAGCTGAGGAAACACAGGAAAGTGTGAAATGTTCTCAAGATGTCTACCATAAAACGTTTTCGAAGCTTTCTCAAGATGTCTACCATAAAACGTTTTCGAAGCTTTACTGAGGCCTTGAATGTTGTAAACATGACAAACAGCTATTGAGCAAGAGCAGTATGACTCTCTTTGATTGAACCTCAAAAGTTGTAAAATGAAGACACCATCTCATTAAGGCTGGAATTGCTGAATCTTTATGCATAGATCTAAATATGACACAGACTAGGCTGTCTCATTGGTCTCCTTTATTTCTAGTTCAGGTGGGTATTTACTGGCTTATGAACGATATCAGATCATCGATCTACCTCAAACTACCAGTAAAATCTTTCTTGCCAAATAACTTTGTTTTTACTTTGCCACAACAAGCCGAAATTCCGATTCATATGCAAGGAGATAATGCATATCACTGGGGGGGGGGGGGGGGGGGGCTACTTCTTGTCTAAATGTCTTACCCACACATTTCACGAAAATGTTATCAATGAGGAAGTAAAGTATTTCACATATTGTTTTTTCAGGAAGCTCTAGATGCCATTTGTTTTCATTTTTGTCAAATAGGTCCTGAATGTCTGAAGATAGATATGGGCTACATATATGGTCAACGCGTTTAGTAACAATTGTCCAATGGATCAATTTCTCCTCAACAATTTACCCACAATGATTTTGAATTACTTTAGTGCTGTGATAATGTATTAACCATATCATCATATAATTTTTACCGCTATTTTCTCTTTTACGCCCAATGGCATCTGTGTCTGATAATCAAGTCTGTTTTATATTTTTCTAAAAGTTCTAAATAATTTGCAGCCAAAGGACAGATAAGTTGAGACTGGATTAAAATGGCAGGGAGGAATGCAGGATTTTATCGTTGCAAGCATGCACTGATAATGCTTCCTATTGTCCTTGTGTTATGTAATCGTATGTCAATGACCTGCAGATTGTCTCTCACCTGATTCCTGCCCCACCTGGGGTCTCTCACGATGTTGATGACTGGGCTGAAACAACTGATACCCTTGTGGTCGCCATATGACCCGTACTTCGTATAATTGTTATACTTGGCCCTAACCTCCTCACCCGTGGCCTGGGCTACCCGGAATATCAGATCAGGGCTGCAGGAAATGACGACACGGCTTAAGCAGTTGCAGGACTTCATCTAAATGTTCAGTTACTATGATGTTGTGTACTGACTCAAGAGATATTTTAGAGCATGTGTTAAAGAAGACGTTATCCAACTAGGTTTATTGTCTATACACGCCTTTAAATATTCATGGATTGTATGGTTGTATGCCATATATTGTTGTTGAATTTGAAGAGACAAACTTTCACAGGATACCCATAACAAAGTACAAATGTCTTACCTAAATGAGGCTGCCAGTCCTATGGCCTGGGGAAAGGAGGTAGCGTTCCCCGCCGAGACGTCCCCGCGGAGACACTCTGTGTTCCAGGAATATGGTTTGATACCCAGACGGGGTATAGCAGGGGCGGGACCACCTTCAGGTCCTGCGCCCCCTCGGGAAATCTGAAGCTGCATGTCGTCCAGTGTGAGACGCCCCACGAGGTCGTTGACTCTGTCCTCCCAGGGTAGAGAGATATTTCTGAAGGGGTAGTCCCCCACCACTAGGGGGACGAGAAGGAGAAGAAGGTTAAGCATTGTGTCGAGACGACACAGATAGAATGACTGTGTGACGACTGCGATGTGTTACATAAATTGACTCATTTTATCTTTGGCTGCCTACCTATCACGCCCAGGCCGAATACCTACCATTCCACGACATGATTACCCTTAAGATTACAAGTGCCCGTGAAGATCCGGGGTAGAGTAGGTCTTCAGCAACCCAGGCTTGCCGTAAACAGCAACTATGCTTGTCGTAAAAGGCAACTAACGGGATCGGGTGGTCAGGCTCTCTGACATGGTTGATGCATGTCATCGATCCCAATTGCGTGGATCGATGCTCATGTTGTCAATCACTGGATTGTCTTGTCCAGACTCGATTATTTACAGACCGCCATCACATAGCTGGAATATTGCTGAGTGCGGCGTTAAACAACCAACAAACAAACAAACTAAGATTACAAGTTAAATTTAACAGAGTTACAAATCATTCTACTTTTTGAGCCTGGGTTGTTTTTGATAGAATAATTAAACCTGAGAAATAAACTCAAACAATGTAACCGTGAATCTATGAATTATACGATACCTGGACATGAAATATATATTATGAAGGCGCGGACTATTTGGCTTAAAAGTGTATGAATCATCTGACTGTGTAACCGTCATTGTGGTGAGATTACATAACCTATATTAAAACTGGACTTACAAGACATAATTTGGTTGGACATCAACAATGTCTGTGGTAGAGTAAGGATTAAGACAGGTCACAACACCTCATCCAACTTAAAACAGGTCACAACACCTCCAACCATTCCCCATTTTAGTGGACTGTAAATATGGCAACCTTACACACAAACGTTTGCTCATTTATGTCTAGACTTAAAAAACATACGTTTATGTGTTAACATTGTGAAAACAGTTTTGCAAACTTTGTCTGTGAAGTTTGATAAACTCGAAAAACAATATTTTCAATAATTTTCTTTTGCTAATATTTTCGTCTTTACAAACTCGATTGGTAGGTTGTCAGACATATCTTTATCGCTTACGGGAGCACGGGTGGCCCAGTCGTCTAAGGCGCCGCTATTCGCTGTGCAGAGTTGCGTCCCTTAGGCACGCCAGAAACATATGATTGTGGGTTCGAATCCCGGTTCGCCCCGATTATGTTTCTAGGTCTGTCAGCACCATACCCGTGCTCGTGGGTTTCACCGAAGTGGTAAACGTCTGAGCCCTGCATCACTTCGGGCTTTCCTCCCACATTAAGCTGACACGCCGTGATATAACTGGAATACTGTTAAAAGCGGCGTTAAACCCAACTCACTCACTCACTCACTCACGCTTACAAATAATCAGATACTGGAGATATTTTTTTACTTGTGTGGCGTCGGCAATTGAGACAAGGGTTGGGGACGGTGTGACAACGATGTTGTGTGAATGCACACGTTAGCAGTTTCTCAGTGTGGAGTGTTATGGTTGAACCCTAATGTGTCCACACCGGCATGTGTAATGTATTTATGTGCGGGATATGTGCGTGTGTTCTCGAGCGAATACCGTATTGTTTATGCATGTGAAGCATTATGGATCTCAAGGCACATTCACATAAAGTGGCACGGAGTGCCTTGTTCTATAATTGAGTGAACCTCGGGTGGATGTTGCACTCAGCAATTTTCCAGCTATATGACAGCGGTCTGTAAATAATGGATCCTGGACCAGACAATCCAGTGATTGACATCATAAGCATCGATCCACGCAATTGGCATACAATGGCATGCATCAACCAAGTCAGCGAGCCTGACCACTCCATCCCGATATAGTCGCCTCTTACAGCAAGCAGGACGTGCTGATAATCTATTCTAACCCGAATCTTCACGGGTTGTTTTCATGTGTAGTCTTTTGGGAATACATCCACATATGTTAGGAACTACACCCCCCACATGTTAGGGAATACAATCGTCATATGTTGGGAATACATACTCATTCCAGTGCTAGAATAGTAGCTTTCTCACCTATTGAAGCTGCACATCAAATCTGAACCGTGAAACCGGTATATTCTCGGGGCCACCGTGGACATTGAACTTTTTGCAGCCGGTGTTGGCTCTGACGTTGCGGGGATCACTTGCAGCAAAGACTCCTGTAAGGAAACATTAACCAAGCCTATTTGTACCTACGCATCAAAGAACTTGACCGTTTATGGTGAATGTATGGTGATTGTATACTCTGACCCAAGTGGTTATTCATGATTCTTGAACAGACATGACATGGATGGAATATCATGACCACATATGCTTCTGGTATATACGTGGAGGACAGGTTCTCCCTGTTTCCTTTCAAAAGAGGTAGAGAGGATTTACGAGTACATTGTATGTATTTATCAGTTTGTGTTAGGATTATGAGTAAAATAGTGATTACATATTGATTAGCGTTTAAAAGAAACTTTCAAAATGGTTTATGGTGGACATGTGAAAGACATTTCGAAATTTGACGTGACAAGGTTTAGCTACGATGCAATTTCCCTATTTTGACTTGTACCATATGTTCAAGTGGTATTTTAAGGTGATTAATTGGCTGTGTGTGTGTTTGTGACGGGTGCCACCAGTATGGCAGGATACGTTCACCTTTTCGCGAACAACTGGTATCATCGCTATTTGATTCATAAACACATGCTCGTAATGTGGTCAGAATCGTTCAATCGACTATGTTTTTGGCTGAAATTTCTTAAGAATATGGAAAGGGTTTTGTCGCTTTTATTTACCAATGTAATACTACTTACATACCGTGGTTCTCGATCAAAATACATTGTGATTCGGTTATTGTCACGTAACAACCAATTATATGGTTTGTTTGCATATTTGATTTTTTCACCCTGCTGCGGCTTTTAACTCTTCTCATGTTCCACTTTTCACATGTTCATGTTCATATATTCTCATAATGGGGGTAAAGTGCGTATGAATAGTAAGAAATACAAAATGCAAACATAGAGCCGCATCACTTCCCCCACATGCATGCCGAAACATCCATGCGAAGCCTTACTATATATAATGAAATTGATGCTAGCATGAAATGAATGTGCCAAATGAATCTCTTTTTTTCGCATTCATGAAGTGACGCATTGTGTGATAATAATAATAAATTGTGCTTCCCTTCTTGCGGATCTGTTTCTTTGTGCATATGATTCGGAATTTCTGTCCGGATTTGCAAAGTCAAAACAAGGTAATTTGGCAAAGAAGTTAAACTTAAGCTTCGGGTGTATCGGTGATCTGATATCGTTCAATAACCATCAAATAACCAATTCCCTGCCACTGATTTACCCACCTGAACTAGACACAAAGGAGACCAGTGACACCGCCTCATCTGTACTTAGATGCATGCATAAAGAGGGATGACTTCAACTTTCCAACGGTCAACTTTCCCTTCATGTCGAGCAATATTCCAGCCCTTGGTGTTTACATTTCGCAACTTTTAAGATACAATCGAGCATTCTTTTTCTACCAAGATTTCAAAGAGCGTCATACGACTTTGCTCAGAAGTTGTTTGATCAAGGCCTCAGTAAAGCTGTCAAAAAGTTTTATGGTGGACATGTGGAGGACATTTCCAACTTTTACGCATCAGTGACAAAAAAGATGTCCGATGTAATTCCTTATTTTGATTAGGGCCATATGTTCCCTGTTGTTTCCAGTTGAACAATTGAATTGCCTTGTTTGTGACGGTTGTCACCGGTGGGGCAGGATACGCTCACCTTTTCGAACACCTGGTATCATTACTATATGATAGTGATTCATGAACACATGCTCATGGTATGGTTGGAATTGTATAATCCACTCTTTTTTATGAAGAGATTTCTCGTGGATATAGAAGGGTTTTGTCACTTAACTCACTTAACTCAAAGGAACTGCAAAAACCATATCCTGGAATTCCAGTCTGTGTATTACACGTTATTAAACGTTTTAAGGTGGGTCCACTCATTAATTTCATGATGCATTTAATGCCAGGAGTCGACACTTGGATTACATGTCGGTAGGTGTCGAATTAAACCCATGCATATGTCACAGTCGATATCGCAGAATGGACTATTGATGATTGTGTAAAGGGTTTTATCGCTTTCATTTATTTATTTGAGTACATGAGATTTTCCTGTATGTATCATATATCCTCATGTCGCCCGTGTACATGTTTCATGTGCGGACCTGAAACAGTGCAGGTGTACTCTCTTTCTTTGTGAGCAGTTTGAGACATAATGTATGCACTATATCTCTTTTCAAAGATTAATCTGCTTCACTATTTTCGCACGAATAATAGATTATTGTATTGCTTCGAACGAGAAAGATCCACTATAAATATATTACAGGCACACGCACTCATTCTATCACATATAGCATCTTTCCGGACCAAGAGTGTCCATTAGCCTATACCAAATCCTTGTTTTTACACTTGCCCTTTCAGGGGACAACGTTTTCGGAACACAGATGTTGCTTTTGCAAAACGTTCTCTAATTTGACTCTCAATATGTGTGATAGTCCTCTCATATTGCAGCACCGAAACGTCGGCTTCAACTGGCAAGGATGAAAACCAGGCCTTGATATAGGCCAGTGGACACACTTGGCTCGGGAAGATGCATTTATATATGCCCGACCATTATCAAGTAGTTGCTTTAAGGATCATTGGAATGACCATCATCCTGTTTTAACGCAATTGGCCACGAAACGTTCAAAAAGCCTTGATGTCATTGGATTCTAATTATCTACGTCATGCAGAAAGTCCTATTTAACAAACATTTTTGCCTCTGGACAAACGGTTATAGTGTCATAAAAACAACCTGTTAGATAAGTGTAGAATGTACATGTAATTACAGACTGATTCTGACATGTTCTAGCTGGGATCTTGCAGTATGTCTTCGGAACGATCAAAAGATGTAGTTCTAAAGTATGCATTTCCGCAGATCACTAAGATTGGCAATGCAATGTACATTGATTGGACAATGAACCTTGGCACTTTGTCCTGCTTTTTAAATGTTCCCAATATTATTTTACTCGGTCTTTAAACATCATCTCCTTAGAAAACACTGGTGCAGTGACCTTCACGTGCTTCATCTCATAAGTGAGATATCAAACGTGTTTGGTTTCTGAAGTATCTCAGGCTATCTGAAACATTGAACCTGCATAGATAGGGAACAGTGGGCAAAGTCTGCCATCCATTCAATTAATGAGCTCCAAGATGACATGTTTTTCGGACACGATATGGCAAAATCAGTCAGTTCCTTCTGATATTGCTCTAGGTATGATACAGTATAAAACTGCAAATGTTGCCATGTTGGGTTCATTGTAAAAGTTGGTATTAAAACAGGCATGTCGTAGATTTTACGAGGCAATGTTGAGTGTCTGGTGAAACGCACTTAAAAGTTTTAATAGTTTACAATGAAGGGCTTTTCGGGCTAGGAAACACTGATTTTTGTAAATGATGTGTCCAACGGACAAAAGAAACCCAGAATTATCATAAGGGCAAGTTGAAGATTCGAACCCTCGCTAGTGGTAGACACAACTCAGCACAGCGAAATCCGGCGATTTTGACGAATGGGAGTAGCATTCCCCCGACCCCCGCATTCTGGACAGACCACAAACTGTCACATGAGCGGAAATATGTGAAAGATAGTATACGGAACAATAAACAAATGGGACGTGCCAATCTTACACTCACACACATATATATGCCATTCTACAAAATCAGGCTTAATAGTGTCCCATATGTATGCGTGTTATTGTAACGTACATTTACATTTAAGAATTAAAACATAAAGTTACCATATATTCTACAATTAATGTGGGTATATTTTACAAATCATGTAACTCAACATTTCCATAATTCCAGTGACGTAAAATATTCTTTCTGTCAAAGGGAGTTTCATAAATCATGACAATTGTTATTTATAATATAATACTGGTTGTCCCTACATTTTGGCTTGCTTCGTTACCAGTCTTTTGCCCACCCTTCTCTAAATTTTAACTTAAGATATCCAAAACAAAAACGTATACACGCAAGGTCCGCACATGAATTCTGAGAAAGCTGACAAAATCTGTATCCTTATTCCCAAAGTGTTCCCGGGCTACCAACATTGGTGAAAACCTGGTATCATCACTGTTTGATAGTGATTCATAACGACATACTCATGACACAGTCGGAATCGTGCAATCGACGATTTTGCTTATGAATATGTAAAGTGTTTTGTCACTTGTATTTATTGAAATATCAATCTGAATTAATTTTATTTTAAAGCACCTGTCCTAAACTCGTATAGCTACGACGAAGTTCTTATAACTGGATATATTTGGGGGAAGGACCTTTTTCATCAACACACACGTCTTCAAGTTCCTGTCAGTCTGGTAAAGTTTAGAGTATGTGTCAAATTCTTCAAGCCTCACTGTACTTGACCTTAATAGGTCTTTAGTTTCCAAGCAGCGGAAGGTCAGGCTCTGCGACTTGTCATCAAGAGTTCACGAACACCTGGCGTCCTCACTGATCTTCAGGATCCATTAATAATTTGCCTTTTTCTCCCAATAGAGTCTGTATCGAGACTGATTATTCTCTAGCGTTGACATTAAATATTTAACCCATCACGTTCATATAAACGAATGAAAAAATAAATACGTATTGTATGCAGTATGTACGAACTCTACATTGCACTTGTCTCTTCATTCCACTCACTCCGGGCGCTTGTGATAAATAGACAACACTATGATATAGACATGTATGTTATATTTTATTCCAATCAGTATTGAACACAACTCACTTCTTATTAAACAAAATATAGGACCATAAACTGGCAGCCCTGTCATCCATCAAGCAGCAACTAAACATTTCAACATTTTACTTTGAGTTTAGTTCATTGTGTGGCATTACAATTAAGTACATTTTACCATTTTGTTTGATAAAAAAATTCTTTGTAGATAATGTCCTATCTGATCGTTTAATACATATATAGAACGCGTTGCATATCAAATATCATCCATTATCAAACTATACATGAGAAATGCGTAAAAAAAGGCAGAAGTTATGCTGGTTAATATCGACCTAGAGTTTTTTGGCCTATAACCGTGAACTGGCCGGAAATGACATTGGAGTCAAGAGCTGGTCTGGAATGAGGTTGCTGGCCTCCTACCCACAATGAAATGACACCTGAAAAGTCAAATTATGTAAGAGTAATTTATTGTATTACATTCACTTTGCTTAATGTCTAAGTGTTGATAATATATCATGTTGACTGTCATTTAGCATTTGAGTACACCAGGTAATGACCAAATGATTTTAGAACTACAACAGCTCTATTTTTCTAAAGATATTTATTGATATTTGTATTTATTATTGGTTTGGAGAAGCGGTCTGTTGTAAATACAGTGATGAAACCTTTATGTGATGTCAACCTGGGGCCTTATCGAAACAGCTGATTCGATTTTAGACCTTTTCCCTCTGACAAATAAAGGTGTAGAACACTCCTAACTTTGTCAATAGTCAGCACTACAAGAAACACGTCGCGGTATTCTGAACCAGATAAGCTGCCAGTGATACGTTACAGTGCATCATGTGGGAACAGAAAGTTCCAATGGGGAATGATTTCCCCAGTCGCCTTTATTTGTGGAACTGTCAGAACTGTCAGAACTGGATGGCTACAATGTCGGTTATTTATTTTGTGTCATCACTCTTTCAAAAGTGGGTCATACTATCAAAGACTGGTAGATAATTTGGTCAGGGCCAAGCAAACCAGACACCGTGATATGTCTGGAATATTTCTGAATGCGACAATAAAACAAGTGTGTTCTCTCTCCCATACAACGAGGACTGTTGTTCATGGCATCAACCACATTATTGTCTGGTCCAGACTGGACTACTTCCGTTTTTGTTCATAATGTTGTTGATGTCGTAAGGGTACCTCGTGTGCCGCACGAGTCGGCTTACCTGGCTCAACAACCCAACCCTTCTGGTCAGTCCACACTGCCAGAGATTCTGCCGAGATGGTAAAGTTCCACTGAGTCTGCACGCCCCGTGGTGCAAACACTCTGTTGAAGGCCACCAGCTGAAGCTGTGGAACCGTCACCGTGGCGTTAGACCAGGATATGTACACCTGGATAACCTGGAATAAAGACGTGGTGTAAGTCCTATTTATGTTGGAACATATATTGGTAAAATGTCATATGTATTAATAGTCTGATTGTGAGGGAGCAAGTGGGGAATACATTATTGTCTTAATAGTATAATAATGTTTGTGATCATGGCTGCTATGTGATGAAGCTTTTCATTACTTTCAACACTCATACCTCATCGGCATCAAAGGATCCTCGATTGCTAAGTGAGACAAAACCAGTCATGTCATCCCCTGCAGTCACCTGAGTGGGATACTCCAAAATGTGGTAGAAGAAGCTGGTGTAGGAGAGACCGTAGCCGAAGGGGAAGAGAACTGGATACGTGGCGTACCGGTATGTGCGTCCGACCATTGTATAGTTGGTAATGTCGGGCACCTTTGGGGTTAACATTGAAGGATATTTAATACATACATGCCTACTGTGACATGACTTATTTTGTATAAGTTTGCGACCTTAAAATACCATAGTGGACCATCATTCCTTGAAGGTAAGTACTTAAACAAAATTAACTGAAGGAGTTTTACCTCTTCGTCGACCTGCAACATTTGACGTGGTCTTCTTATTATTCAATTCTCTACCAACATTCAACACTACCGTAGATTTGTCAATGGACCGGATTTCTAAAATTGGAAAACAATCTGCTCATGTTGACCTCTATTTGGCATGTTTTCATTTCTTTTGAGTAGTTGACACATTGTTATAAGATGTAATGCAATAATTTAAATTCTAATGAATTATGTGGGGATTACCTGGAGCAAGAACGCAACCAAGCTAGCGATATGTTAAAGTTATGTTTTGAAGAAGACAATTTACACTTACTGTGTCCATGTACCTTGGCCACGTTACCGGAAGTCTTCCAGCAGGCACGGAATTTGGCCCTTCTGCCAACAGTACTCGCCGCAGAGCCTCGCCTGTTGACTGGGCTGGGAAAAATAGTTCGATAATAGCCTGAACATTGGGACTCTCAGCAGCCCAAGTAATATTGAGGGGTCCGCCATTGAAAAGAAGGAGGATGACCTTGGCACCATATCCTGGAAGGAGAGATGTAATGATCACTTGTTCCGTAGTTCAAGTCAGTAAAAACCGCGCGAGTGAGTAAGTGAATGTTGTTTCCCCGATTCATCACGGAGTAAAATATATATAACTTGAAGCATAACAGTGTTATCCTACTTCAACCTACCCTGGCCAGTGGTGACAGCATCCTTCAGCAACTGCAGCTGTTGCCCGGGGAGTTCTAGGTTTGCCTTGTCGTTGGCTTCTGATTCTAGTTCCTGACCTGAATAGAAACGTCGGCATATAACCTTTACCTAGTAGACAAGTCTTGTACTGATGCCAAGAAATCACATCAAATATATACACATGCACAAAAGTTAAGCGCCACCATATTCATAGTTTCTTGATTTCACGTGTGGGAATCAGAAATACGAAATATGATGATGTATGACTGAATTAGGCTTCCATAGTTTTATGAACCCAAATTTGTCCAGATACCACAAGGAACGCGTGCTTTACGTGTTACTGCAGTTCCTTACCTTATAAATAGTGAAATTCAAGTTTCAGACACGTGGTTGCATTTTGCTCCTGTGTGAGATTCCCCTTCCAATAGAGGTTGGAAATCAGCCATGGTGAGGACATCTTGTGCATCTCGTTATAATAGTCATTATTAAGTGCCTAAAGTAACAGCTCACATATATGGTGGGTGGCGCTTAACTTTTGTGCATGTGTATACTATAAATTGTCAATGCAAGAGAATAACCATCCTAGATGTTCACTTGGCGTAAAGGGCTGTGGAAACTATATGAATGGACCACTGAACACCAGGTGTTCGCGAAACGTGTAAGTATGTCCTGCCCTACCGGTAGCATCCGCCATTCACACAATTTGCACAAAGAAGTAAGTATTTATTGCCTGACGCAGCACAGCAGTACTCCTGTCATGCGACGTCAGTTGGTAAACAAACCATACAATCAATTCATCGATGAACCATCAAATCCAATGACTCGAGATTACCATAACTGATTGTTTTATGAATAATGTCTGCTGTGTACAACTGCAGAGCTTTTACTGCTTATAAGTAAAGAAACACGTTTAATTTTTTTTATTCATTTTGCAAAACAATGGGGGAAAGTTTTAAAGTCTCGCCCCAAACATTTCTTTTGAAGTTGACTCAGCATAGATACATGCTACTGAGCTTATGATGAAACTCGGATACTTCAATCCACCAGCAGAACCATCGACCCAGTTCAAGTAAATATAAATTGTCATTGCTAGAGAACCGTGAAGCTTTTTCCACATGATTTTACGGTGATAGAGTGTAAAAATTGAAAAACTATACATATATAACACATTTTACGCCACAGGACACACATGATAATGACAAGAAAGGAGTCTCTTTGAGAATTACTTATTTAACCAAGTTAGATATAGAGAATACTCGGTAATACCACCTCTAATTGACATATTTGTTATTGCTAATGATAGCAAAATCCATTAGAATACATGAAGGCCATGACATAGAGATACAGTTGCCTTTCATGTAGTATAACATTTTTGCAAGATAACACATTAATACTCTCCTTTATTTCCTCTTCATGGACAGAAACAATACAATCATGCCATGTGAGATAACTGGGACCCTGTTTTGGAATTGTATTGATTACTGTATTGAACCGCTGATGGTACTGTGTATATGATATTCACGTTCATTTAAATGTTTATCTTCTTCAGGGCTACGATGACACTGACACATTGTCTAAAACTGAGAACACGACAAAAATGACACGTGGTTTAAAGCAATGGCCAGCTTAAATGCAACTAATGCTGTACCACTGTCGTAAAATTCCTATATTAACACAGGCATGATATTCACAGGTTGAAGTTCTCCAACATGAGCTATGACCACTTTCCAAAAGTTTATTTTGTCGCTAAGTTGGAAGACGACCAACACTTCGTCCCAGTCATAAGAGTTGTCCAAAGGTTAGGCACACCCTAATATATTTAATAATTGTTTGGTCCCAATATTTGTAACAGTCATGAAAGATATAATTACGGGAAGAATTATCTCGAGATGATGTCATCAGTCATCCGTGACGAAAGTTCACGTGTCATGCAGGGTATGCCCTACAGCACGCTACCCTCGAGTATCTCTAAAAGCAGTATATCCAAACGTTAAAATTGCTTTCTTAAGCTTGGTTTTAAACAGTTATTCCATGACATTGTGTGACTATGACACAAAGGCGATAATCAAACGCCACAAGATGACAAATAATCGGCATGCATAACACAGGAATGTCTTGTAATGCAATTGGTCGGAATTTGGGGTATCATCACACTGTCGTAAGGTGTTTAGTTGAGAAACATGCTCAGACCGGTGATGTACAGGACCGTCCCAGATTCGGAAGACCTCCTGTGATGACCCTTTTTAACAAGTACTCGTCTGAAACAACTGTGGTTGCCCAATCGTCGTTTCAGCAACAGAACCGCCAGGAACTGACTGAAAGCAGCAGCACTGAGGGCTAAACGAGTCATAAAGAGTCCCTTGTTGAGAGTTCACCACAAAGCTGCTCGTTTAGCATAGTGTATTCCGCGACATAATGGAATCTAAGAACTTGGAGACGGATCCATTGGTCAGACGAAAGTCGCTTTCTGCTCTACGTCACCGATGTAAGAACGAGAGTTTGTCGGCACCGGAACACGGCCTGCACCCCTAGGAACTGACTGTTGCATTCGGCGGGGGCCCGGTAATGGTTTGGGGTGTATATCTCATGATTGCAGATGGATTTGGCCGCCATAAGGAGCATTTTAACAGGGGCTCAGTCCATCCGGGACGTTTTGAGGCAAGTCCTCGTTCCTCAATTTGACAACCACCCTCTTGCTATTTTACCTCAGTACATGGATGGTAATGTCAGGCCTCATCGTTCGCATGCAGTCGTGGATTACATGAGGGCCAATGCAATAACGACTCTACCTTCGCCAGCAATGAGCCCAGATGTGAACCCTCTTGAACATGTTTGGGATATTCTGGGGCAGCGCATACAGGCACGATATCCTCCTGTACAAGATTTACGCCAACTGGAAGCAGCATTGCATCAGGAGTGTTTGTTGTTGACCAATCAACAGATCCAACCTCTGATTGGAGGCATGAGACGTAGGGTGGAATGCGTCATCCGGGCACTTGTCGGTTATACCCACGACTGATCTGTTTCACGTGTCATGTCAAGTAGAGACTTTAAGGAACGTTTTGACATGAAACATGACACGTAACTCGTTTACTTAATCCGGGAGCTCCATACTTTTCTTAGGTATTGTCTAAGGTAAAAAACAGAACCTGTGTTACCATGATGTTTTTGTCAGTAAATTCCAATCACAACTCACCAATATCTTCTTTCTTTGATGTCAAATATTTGTTCTATCCAGTTGCATTGGTATCGCCCATCTCCTGTGGTCAGTCATCCCATGCTATGACTTTTGCCGTTTGTCATGGTTCAGAAATAGGGGTGTGCTTAACTTTTTTCTGTGTGTATGATAAGGTACAGTTATATGTTTTTAGATATACATTAACTCACCTGTGCCAAGACACACAAAAATGAGGTCGGATGCTGTTACTGCTGTCTGGACTTCGTGGGAGTAATACTGAGTGCATTTGTTGTCTGTGCAGCCTGCTGCATACCTCACTGTAGACCAGAGATACTGTATACCTTGTAGAGGGTTGGTGGTGTATTCTGGGTTCATGGTGGGGGCATAGTCTCCAAACAGTTGATATGTATTGTTGGCCATTGGGCCCACAACCTGTTAGAGAAGGATTTCTTTTCATTATGTTAACACTTGCAAGTAGGAAGGTAAGAAACAGGATGGTAAGCGAGAAATATTGCTCAAAGCGGAGTAAACCATACTCAATCATATACCTACAGCAACGTTTCTGTAGCTTGATGGATTTAAGGGGAGGACGTTTTGGTTTTTCAGCAACACAAATGTCTTCATTGCTGCCTCAACAGCCAGGTTCCTGTGAGCCTCACTCTGAACTATCGACATGTTTAATTTTGTGTATTGATTCATTTCCGGTGGGTCGAACTCTCCAAGCCTCATTCTGACGTTGAACAGCGTCTTCACACTGGTCCTGACCTCTTCTTCAGTCAGCTTGCCTTGTTTCACAGCATCAACTGAAGGACACAAAGTAACACCCATACCGTATCTCACACATTCATTTCAGAGACATACGTCCACGTTAACAGTTCACATTGTTTAGAGTTTCACTTGAAATAAGGATGACATGACTGTGGGATTAACAACTCACAGCTAAGGTTGAGAAATATATTGGTGATGTGAGTAGAACACATGGTCTACTGTGAAACAAACAATTGTAACATTGTTGCCACAAGAGAATCCCAACTGCTACAGGTGTTGATAATATACTGAACCACATAAAAACGTCATCCCAAGTAACATTGCTTGAAAAATTGTGATTTAAATATCTGGGTAATCTTTGTCAAAGATTCTAAAATTTAACATTATCTTGTCCGGAAAAAGGAAATTTCATGATAAAAAACAAAACAGATGACAATAAAACCGATCGCCCAAACGTATCACGGCAACGGCCATTGTAACCGATGTACGTGTTCCTTGCAAATTAAAATGCACATGCGTTCCCCCATTTCTTGCCCTATAAAAATCCACACTGATCGCATAACATTCATTCGTTATTGAATTGGTACCACATGCAAAGATTGACAAGAAATCAGCGACACTAAGCCCTTATTGAATTTATTACACATGTCTTCGTCTTCTGTTCCTTTTTGATTTTAGGTGCAAACATATCAGTGTTCCCTTACTTCTTTTGAGTAGTTTAAGTATGTTTGAGACAGTGTTTGGACAAATAAGGTTTCTCATATATCTATCCATGGTGACGTTTCTTTGGCGGTTCAGTATAGAACTGCCGTTAAGGTCACAAACACTCATATATAAAATCGACTGAGAAATGTTCCAGTCAGTAAAATGACAAAATATATTTGCTACTAAATCGTGAAGAATGGCCTGACAGTTTCATATATCTGAATTTACTCATCAGGTACTCCCACTATGTTACTGCATGTCATATATGTATTTTTTAGAGTTCAGCTTTCAAGGCCTTATGGTTCCTGAAATGCTCAAATGTTGTCTTCACATTGGTTTGGGCGTGAAAGGCACAATAGTGAAGAACATTATATGAATGCATCACTGTGAATCACTAACTGATCCGTACACTCCAAAATATGCATAACACTGACGAGACCAGGTGTATACTTTTTTTTGCCTGGCAGTTATCCACCTAAGCAAACACTCATTTCCCATCATGTTGTTCTCACGTTGGCTGCCGAATGTGTCAAATATCACTTTATGCTGACGAAGATGATAAGAACGTGAATCATGCCTTTTCCGTAACAATCGGAAAACAAATCTTGTCCTCGTGGTTTTGCTCGGAAGTCAATCGTGTTTTCAATGCAGATACCACTTACCAACTGAAAAGAAAACTGGATGACCATCGAAATAGGACAATTCGAGGTTGCATCCAGCCTTCACAGATGCTGCAACAGTGTCGACGCTGTCGTTCAGGTAGTGGTGTGCATAGATGATGTTCTCAATGGCGCCTTCGTCGCTGACCACATAACCTTTGAAACCCCATTCGGTTCTCAGGATATCCGTCAGAAGCTTCTTGTTGGCACATGCTGGCACTCCGTTGATTCTTACAAATAAGATTATGATATTCATACCATGAACTGGATATTCAAGAGCTCATATAATTCCTACATACTACAATGTAAGAGACGCATTATCCTCCTGAAGTGATATATAAGGTCCCGATGTTGGCCTTGGAAGTTTTAAGATCATTGGTGAGGACCAAATTAGACTAAATAACATTTGCTTTTGTACTAACCTATTATAGCTACACATGATACTGTAGGTCCCAGCTTTGACACAGGAGCGGAAGGCTGGGAGAAACGTAGTTCGCCAATCTCTATCAGACACCTGAAAAGAAAATTCAATATTCCATATGCATTCAATGACATAGGAATTTTACATTCATTGTGAGCATATCCTTCACATCTGCTGACAACAATCGACCTCCCTGCAAAGTGTTAATGCCAGAAAAGAAACATCAATAATGGTGCAAAATTCGCACTGTTTGAATTTGCAACTTAGTTAAAATTAAATCTTTGATAGGCATTTACAAGAACGTAAAGACATCCAACTTTTATTTACAGCAACTTCTGTATTATTTAGACTCAACGTACTCTGAAACGTAATTACAAACTATAAAACAAAGTTCTTATCCATATACATTCCATGTCTGAATGAACTGTTTGGTTGCTGACACATTTCATTACATGACGGCATCTCTGACCTCGAGCTACCTTTGCATCAAACGATGCGCGTGAAACAGGTATATTCTCAGGACCACCATGGACATTGAAGTGCTTGCAGCCGGCGTTGGCTCTGACGTAGCGGGGATCGCTTCCCTGGAGACCCTTAACGAAATTTGAAGCAAAGACTCCTGTCAGGTGTGGATCCTCTCCATACGTTTCCTGAAGAAAAAGAAAAAGCATGTTGATCTGACACCAAAGCTACCTAGAACCTCGAGATACAGAGGTTGGTCCACAAACACGGTGTCTAATTCCCATACTACCTCCAGTGGTGATGATAGTGCTGACGAATTCTAATCACATGTCACAGTGACTCACGGATCCAGGCAAGGGATATACAACATAAACGCCGTTAAACTTTTACAAGAACACAGGCAACGTCCAAACAATGATATGCCTCAAACAGAAAGAAACATGAAGTTTGACATACATGGTAGAGGTCTTTCAGTGGTGTCTTTCAGAAAAGAAAGATACATGAAAGCTTATTTGACATACGACGTTGTTCGTGATGCTGTTGCGGTAAAAAGACCATAGGTCCATATACATCAATTCAGAAGGATATATTTTATTGATGCAGATGGGTAAGTAATATATACTGAACCGTAAAAGAAACGTCACTTCAAGTAACATTGCTTGAAAAGTTTAAATATCTTGGTAATTTTTGTCAAAGTTTCTAAAATTTAACATTACCTTGTCCTGAAAAATGAAATTTGATGATAAAAAAACAAAGCAGATGACAGTAAAACCGATCGACCTAACGCATCAAGGCAACAGCCATGGTAACACGATGCACGTGAGTTCCCCCTATCTTGCCCAATAAAAATCCACCCTGGTCGGAAAACATTCATTCGTTAATAAATTGCTACCACATGCCAAGATTGACAAGAAATCAGCTACACCAAGTCCTTGGATGATTGCAAGTTGGACAAACCGCCCGGCAAGTAGCCAATGCATTTCAAGTCCATGTAAGGACCACCATGTACAGGCCCCAGAAACGGTACCAGACCACCAACACTACAGATGACCGACCACATAGGGGAAGACCGTCAGGATCGTCAGATTGTGCGACAGCATCTTCAAGATCGCTTTTATACTGCTGCGGAAACTGCTCGACAGATCATGGGGACACATCAGTGCACACACCTCCACTGTCACAGGCCACACCGATTGCCCATTCTGACACCATGCCATCGCCGGGACCATGTTCAGTGGGCAACACAGCACCAGTATTGGCGTCACCACCAGTGGAGAAGAGTCCTCTTCTCAGACGATATCAATATCCCAATTTGCTCGAATGTTTGTGATATTTATTGACTGTGGGACAAGCACCGTTAAACGGGTTTGGTTGTAATGAGACCTACACGTGGCAGGGCTAATAACACACCTAGCCAAGACGAATTTAAACATTTACCGTTAAAAACCGGCTCTATGCAGCCCTTCTGAAGGCAAGGTGTTCTGTGAATGGCCCTACCAGCTCACCATAAGCGGCAAAGTTGCGATGAGCTAGGCAACACCAGGGACGAGCTGTGCGCCAATAGTGATGCACCATGTTCACAGAGACTCAAGGTTTGCCTCTGATGGCAGAGGTTGAGTGGGCGGTATGCGAGGGCAACAACTCTTGACCATGATCGGTATGAGGGAGTGTGGTGTCATGGCGTGGGGCGGTATCACACATAACAGGCGAACTGATTTGGTTATTGTAAATAGACATTTGACTTGCCAGGCACATGATGACGAAATCTTTCGTCCCGTCGTTGCTCCGTTCGCTGACATAATCAGATGACAATGCCAAACCACATCGTGCCCATGTCGTCACCGATAGTGTTCGACGAGAAGACATACGGACTTGGACTAGCCTGCTAAAGAACGTTTGGCCTTGACGTTATATATCTTGCATCCTTAGCGCAGAGAGGTAGAGACTGGATTCAGTCTAAAGGAATTGTCGATTTTTACACTAAGCTGATTTCTTACAATTGCAGGGAGGACTATTACATTGTGTAATTGACATTCACTGACTGCGCTTCCTATTGCTCTCTATTATTGCATGACCTGCAGATTATACTGACCTGATTCCTACCCCACCTGGGGTCTCTCACGATGTTGATGACTGGACTGAAACAGCTGATACCCTTGTAGTCTCCATATATCCCATACCTCGTATAATTGTTATACTTGGCCCTCACCTCCTCACCCGTGGCCTGGGCAATCCGGAATATCAGATCAGTGCTGTCGGAAATGACGGAACGATTTAACCAGTTGCAGGAACAACATCTTAATGTATATCTGAATGTTTGGAGCGTATGCTAAGGAAGGCGTTGTCCTCAGCTTGCACCGTGACAGGTACATAAACTAGGTATATTGTCCATACAAGCATTTACATTTCACAGATTGTATGGTTGTATGTCATATATTGTTATTGAATTTGAAGAGACCAGCATCCACAGGATACCTAGAGCAACGTTCTAATGTCATACCTAAATGAGGCTCCAAGTCCTATGGCCTGGGGAAAGGAGGTAGCGTCCCCCGCCCCCACATCCCCCCGGAGACACTCGGTGTTCCAGGAATATGGTTTGATACCCAGATGGGGTATAGCAGGGGCGGGGCCACCTTGAGGGCCCGCGCCTCCTTTGGACATCTGCAGCTTAATCTCGTCCAGGGTGAGACGCCCCACGAGATCGTTGACTCTGTCCTCCCAGGATAGAGAGATATTTCTGAAGGGGTAGTCCCCCACCACTAGGGGGACGAGAAGGAGAAGAAGGTTAAGCATTGTGTCGGGACGACACAGATAGAATTACTGTATGACGACTAGATCAAGATAGGTTACAGAGATATAACGTGGCTCATTTTATTTATGTCTGCCTATATATCATGCCAAGGCCACATTCCTACCACTCCCAGGTATGATAACCAGATCATTAGAAAAACTGTTTTCGACAAAATATACTGAACCGTAAAAGAAACGTCACCATGGATAGATATATCAGAAACCTTATTTGTCCAAACACTGTAAACATACGTTGAGACATATTAAAAAGATGAAACTTGGCAAAACTGATCATCAAGGTTGAAATTAAAGTGTCAAATATTCTTAAAGTGAAACTAGTCTCTTAGAAAATGGCATCACAAGTCAGTATCTCGTGTGTATGCCATGGGCATTGATGACTGCTGTGCAACGTCGATACATGGAATGGATGAGGCGGTTGATGAAGGACATAGGCACTTGAGCCCACACTCTGTGGAACGCCTGATGCAGATCAGCTGCAGTTGTCGGCCTTGGTCGGATGTCATTCAGCCGTCTTTGAATCTCGTCCCACAGGTGCTCTTTGGGATTTAAATCGGGACGGAGGGCAGGCCAATGCATGGTTCTGATGCCATTCTGCTGGAGGAAGTCTATTGTTGCTCTCTCAGTGTGGGCACGGGTGTTATCATGCTGAATTTTGTGGTTGCGGCGACATGGCAAATGAGGTATGGCGTGTGGTCTCAACACTTCTTTTTTTTTATATAAACGTTTTTATTGTTCCCAGAGTTGTAGATTAATACAGAATTCCGTCAAAGACATATTTCGGATTGCATAGAATGGCACAATACACTCTTTAGAAAATTAAAGGGTTGGAAACAAACATTGTCCTATTTCAAACCAACACGGTTGCAACACACAGTCAGACTCAAACATAACATGTATCAACAGAGAGCTATGAATCAAATGCTGAGAATAAAGGTAACCATTTTCTATTAAAGTTACTTTTGTCATCCTTTTTTATAGCAATAAATTTCTCGATTGAATATATGTTTTTAAACAATTTTAAAAGTATATCTAATTTCGGTTTGGTTCCTTTAATTCCACTCACATGAATATGCCTTTTCCCCAATAAAACTATATGATTGATTAAAGTATTAGAGTTGTTAGAACCAAACCAAATAAGATATTTTGTCAATTTATTTTTTTGTGGAAGGTAATTGTTAAGCCAAAGTTCGAGATCATTCCAAAATTGTTTAGTTTCATTACATTCCCAAAAGACATGACTGACGTCCTCATTGACAGCATTACAAAAGCTACACACACTGTTGTCTACAAGATTCATTGTTAATAGTTCCTTCTTTGTGTAGATAATTCCATGTAGAAATCTGTATTGAAAATCTAAAAGTTTTACATCCTTCAGTTTATATCTATAAACAGTAAATATCATTTTCCAATCAAAGTCACAGTGAAAAATTGATTGCCATTTATTACAAACTTTAAGATTATTTTCATTTGATATTAATTTATCATAAAAGATTCTAGCCCACACTCTGTGGAACGCCTGATGCAGATCAGCTGCAGTTGTCGGCCTTGGTCGGATGTCATTCAGCCGTCTTTGAATCTCGTCCCACATGTGCTCTTCGGGATTTAAATCGGGACGGAGGGCAGGCCAATGCATGGTTCTGATGCCATTCTGCTGGAGGAAGTCTATTGTTGCTCTCTCAGTGTGGGCACGGGTGTTATCATGCTGAATTTTGTGGTTGCGGCGACATGGCAAATGAGGTATGGCGTGTGGTCTCAACACTTGATCAATGTACCGAGCTGCTGTGACGCCATTGGCTCTCCCTGGACCGATGTTCTGGAAGACCCCACCCCATGATGCTCGGACCACCCCACGAGTCTCTCTCAACAACACAAGCATCCGAATAACATTCCCCACGCCAGACTCTCTCTCTGCCATCTGTTGTTGAGATACAGTAACGACTCTCGTCTGAGAAGAGGACTCTTCTCCACTGCTGGTGACGCCAATGCTGGTGCTGTGTTGCCCACTGAAGACGGTCCCGGCGATGACGTGGTGTCAGAATGGGTCCTAGGTATGGCATGTGACAGTGTAGATGTCTCTTCCGTCAATCGTCGACGCACGGTGTCCGCACAAATGTGTCGCTGGTGTGTCCCCATGATCTGTCGAGCATTTTCGGCAGCAGTAGCAAAGTGATCTTGAAGATGCTGTCGCATAATCTGACGATCCTGACGTCGGCTGGTGACCCTTGGTCTTCCACTATGTGATCGGTCAGTGTAGTGTTGGTGGTCTGGTACCATTGCTGGAGCCTGTATATGGTCCTTTCGTGGACTGCAAACGTTTAGTGGTCTCAATGACGCGAAGGTATGTGGCGTGCATCAATGCTGCAGGTGAACACGCTGGCTACTGACTGTGAGCTTTGCCTCTGAATCCCATCGTGTGACATATGCCATAAGGACTGCATATGGAGTGTTCCTTCAGTTCGTTCCATGTGGCAAAATTCCATCCACAGCAAAAATGACCGATTATTTTTGTATGGGACAATATAGTGTGCCTTAGCTAATTTGCTGGTTATTGCATATTTTCATTGACGTATTCATGTGTAATTACACAGCTGTTTTGTTTCTTGTCCCCAATGGAATCTGTTTAGACAGATGTTCGAGGCTAGCGTCTCTGGCGTTAGCGTTTTGTATTATGAATAACTAATTGGTTGTGTTGGGTACAATATTTATGGACGGATAATGTTGTGTTGAAATGGTTATTTCTTAAAATGTCAAGGTCGGTCCCTTGAAGTTACAAGATTTATCCCAGAAGGAAAACGGGTCATGGCACAATATATATGCAAGCAATTATAGATAAGATTCAGTCTCAGTGCTGCCTTTGTGTCGTCCCCACACAATGCTTCTGCTTCTCCTCTTCGTTCCCCTAGTGGTCGGGGACTACCCCTTTAGAAATATCTCTCTACCCTGGGACGACAGAGTCAATGACCTCGTAGGTCGTCTCACCCTCGACGAGATCATACTACAAATGTCACGTGGGGGTGAAGGCGCTCAAGCTGGGCCCGCCCCTGCTATACCCCGCCTGGGTATCAAACCATATTCCTGGGATACCGAGTGTCTCCGAGGGGACGTTGGGGCTGGAGACGCAACCTCCTTTCCCCAGGCCATAGGACTTGGAGCCTCATTTAGGTAAGACCACAGGACAAACACATACACAATTACTCTTTTCTGCATAATGTTGCACGATGTCAGTAAGGTAATAATGATAAAAATGATAATCTTACTTCAATGACAAAATCAGTCATTTTTTTTTTAAATTGGGAGTGGGGAGGGGGGGGGGGGGGGGGGGGAGGTATTCATGTCCACTTATGCTGTGATATATATATGAGAGAATTCATTTAGTCACATCTAAGTAACTGTACGTTAAAGTCGGTTTTTCAGTTTCAAACATAATTGTCTGTAACTGAAGCTATTGGTATGTCTTTGATTTGTAACGTACAGTAAAATGCCTGGCAAAACTGGTAAATGTAACAATAAACTTATCTCAAGACGTTATGAGAAGAGGGGTAGCTATACCTTTATTGTCAAACAGTATTCCATCAGACCAAGCCAACGTTTGAGGTATAATCGAACATGATCCTGCTACGGCTTGTGCCGGGGACCATCACCTTTTTTGCGCACACCTAGTATATAAACACGTGCTTATGATAGTCGGAATCGTACTGCGGGCTATGACCATTAGCGTTTTCGCTTTTATTAACTATATGAATACAAGATGGCCCCCATGGTATTGATAGACATTTGTTAAGAAATTGTCTTCGTTGTCAATAATTGCCCTGACATCACCAGTTAACACTATTCCTTGTTTAATAGTAAATATATAGCATCTGTACATACCTCGGACGATGCAATTTGCGAATTAAGATGCAATGGTCCCAATGTACCAAGTTTCAGCGTTAGGTACATATATTACAGCTGCTTATATTATCGTTTTAATAGTGCTATGATATTACACAGTTTTACCCACATTTCCAAATCGTTCCTTTACGAATGCAAATGTTTCAACGGTGTATTCATCAACGTGACAAAGAGGAATTTCTTGATAATACGATTTTTTGCGACCATCAAATAAGGATCACTGTCCAATGTTACTGATGGGTCAAGTGAAATGGCAGCAAAATGTAAAACCGTTTTGCCCCATCCTACAGCCCTGACCTGATATTCCGGGTAGCCCAGGCCACGGGTGAGGAGGTGAGGGCCAAGTATAACAACTATACGAAGTACGGGTCATATGGCGACCGCAAGGGTATCAGCTGTTTCAGTCCAGTCATCAACATCGCGAGAGACCCCAGGTGGGGCAGGAATCAGGTGAGAGACACTGAAGGGAGCCAGAATTAGGTGAGAGTCGGAATCGGGTGAAAGACACGAGAGAGGGCAGGCATCAGGTGTGAAACTCCACAGGGCTGCCAAAAGAGTATCTTAACAGTGACAGAAACTAGGCGAAGGACTGACTACCTCCAATGAAGCTCTATACCTGTTGTCTTTTTTAAAACTGGGCAGAGACAAGGTCAAAATACATTGCGAAATCCCAGGAATAATCATAATGACATTCTACACTTATCTTTGAGGTTATATTCTATAACACGTCGCCCAGAGGCATGACAAGAAATGTGTAATTTCACTTGATGTTTGCAAAGATAATTGCAGACCGTTTTGCAAAATGTATATTTAATCATGAAAGGGGATCCTCATGTATAACAATCTGTTTGATCTGTGTGGCGAATATAAGTAGACTTATACTATATGTAATTACTGACCATCCTGTAAAATGTATATTTACTGATAATATGTTCTTTTAAAGTAACACCATCAGTTTGGTCTGTGTGACGTATATACTTAGACTCTATTGATACTATCGCCGCGAATAGCTGCAAAATTGCTGATGCGGCGTTAAGCAATATTCACTCACTCATTCACTATTGATACTAAGTTTGTGTGGGTTTGGGAACTCTGAAAAATACATGGTCTGAATATATAATTCACCATGAACTTTGTT